GTTCTCTCTACACACACACACACACACACACACACACACACACACACAACCCAAGCTTCCTTTAGCTCAGTGTGATTCTTCTTTTATTGTTTGGTGATATAATAGTTCATTAAAACAGTGTGATTCCCACAGTCTTCTAGACTTCTTTGGTGATTTGTGAACTCTTGAGAGTACAGTATTCCATGGTACACTGTATTCATCTTTTCTGACAGGATGTACAAAAAGTGAATCTGAGCAGTTATGGGCATAAAACACAAACAGTTCCCTCTAAAACTTTCACTTACAGCAGTGGAACATTAGCTGGAAATCTCCACACCCAGTGCTGAGAGGGTTTCTGAAAGTTGTCTAATATTGAGAATGTGAGTGTTGTCACTCCCTCAGCCCTTTTGGGAGCACACAGGATTGCAGTGTATTAGACGAATATGTGAGGATGAGCCACTGACGATAAATGTTCTCAACTATGCTGTCAGAGAGAGTTGTTAATGGTTTTGTTTACTATGCCAGATGTTTGGAATGATTCGCGGTTTTAATTACATGTCAGTCACACATAGGAAAACATTCCTGTACAATTAAATGATAGTTTCATGGAACATCTATGGAATCTGTGTACATACACATGGATATTATGACTATCTATCTATCTATCTATCTATCTAAAAATATAAAAATAGAGGTTATTAGTGTTCCACATTTTATGCAATCCTTTTTTGCATAATTTCCCCCTTTTGCAAATAATGTAATGGTCTTTACAATAGTGACGCACAGGAAGCATCATCATGGAAAGACAAATGAATCATTTCATCCATTTCCTAAATTTTTTTACACAAATTGTAGTGAACATTGACTGCACTCTTAAAGCTCAACTGGAAGATTTGAGGATTTTTTTATGTTGAAAGTTTATCAATAACTGCAAACCAACATTTTGTCCCAAACAACCTATACTCTACCATATTGCATTTTATTTTAGGCTACGTTTGCAACCCTGTTACCCATTTTTTTAAATATATTTTTGTCTGTTTCATTTTTTAAATTTTATTGTAATTTTTTAATGCTATTATAATTAAATCTATTCAAATAACTAATTCTAAACTATAGAATGTCCCACATGTCACATATTTTAGTTTGACCGCCTGAGGTTGATGGCCAACCTTTTCTAAAGGTTAGGTCTCTTTTTTCTGTCCATGTGTTCAAAAAATGTGCTTCAGACCCTTTTTTGTGTTTCAGGCCCTATTTTGTATCATATTCACAGAAAGTATCCCATAATGTGCTTTGGTTAATGATATCAGGACAATCTGCTTTTGTGACTTCACACATTATTGATGAATCTGTCATACATTTTGAAAACATATTTATCAGTGAGCATTGTGGTGCAGTTGATGATTGTATATATTGTAAATCTACTGTATCAATGTCTAGTTGTTTACGGTTTTGTCTTTGTGCATATTTTATGTGAAGTTATCACAGATGTCTGTCTGTGTCTTCCTCTCCTTCTGACTCTGTAGGGGGAGCTGCTGGTACGCCGGGGTTCTCGCGGGACCCAACCCAGCTGAAGGGGGAGCTGTATCACACGGCTCTGAGGAAGAGCCAGCAGGGCTTTGGTTTCACCATCATTGGTGGAGACAGACCTGATGAGTTCCTGCAGGTGAAGAACGTTCTTGCTGATGGCCCGGCCGCCCAGGACAACAAGATGGCCTCTGGTGAGTGATGCCTAGTTTGGTGAATGGTTTTAAGGGGAACATCCACAATTCACATTAGGGGTAATTAGGAAGCCAGCCTACGAATGACTTAATTATAGATGTCTCGTCACATTAAATGGGATAGGAAAAGTATATTAACATAAAAAGGCTACAGAATAATGGCTTTATTTATTCACCCTCATACTGTTCCAAACCATTTGACTTTTTTTTCTTCTATGAAACAAAAATTTTGATATTTTGAAGAATCATGCATTTTTTCCATATCATTCTTATTTTAGTATTACTCAAACTATCACAGTTTTTTTTTTATTATTATTATGAAATAGCTTTTGTTTTTACATTTTCATTTTAATTTTTGTTTATTTTTTTAGTAATTTTGTTTAATGCGCTTAAGTCATTTTTATTAGTTTTTTTCAATATTGCTATATATTTAAATAAAAAAAATGTTTTTATACTTTTAGTTTTAGTTAAGTATAATAACCTGGTTCCATACAGCAACAGTTCATTGTGACCATAGTGGCAAGTAATCTAAAGACACATAATAACCCCAAAAAAGACTGAAATTTAAGTCATTATTCACTAATAATCTTCCTTTCCATTGAGTTGTTAACTAGAGAGCTGCTGCGAATGATTGAGTGAGTGAACAATCAGTCTGATTCATGAACTGGATCAGCTGATTCAAAAAAAAAAAAAAATCAAAGGAATGATTCATTCACTGATCGAGTTCAAAAACACTTGGAATATAGTACACAAGTCACACAAACTGCTTGGTATTTCTTTGTCATTTTTGTATCTTATCAAATGTGTATATAAAAAAGATCTGTGTCAAAATTCTTCAAAGGTTCTCAAAGAAATAAAACGTGTATTATTTCCAGTGTGTTACAGTAACGCGTTACTAGTAACGCGTTACTGCCCAACACTGGAAATAATACACGTTTGAAATGACATAGTGTAAGGGTGAGTAAATAAGGACAAAAATATTTAATTTTGTCTAAACTATTCCTTTCATCTAGCGTCTTTCAAAAACATAAATGGATTAGAAAAGTTGTTCATCCACTTTGTAATGGTCCTTTTCCTTTCTGATGCTGTCAAATTCCCTCTCTTTTCAACCTAGGTGATGTAATTGTGGAAATCAACGGCACACTTGTCTTAGGCAAGACCCACGCCGACGTGGTCCACATGTTCCAGTGCATCCCAATTAATCAGTACGTTGACATGGTCCTCTGTCGTGGATACTCGCTTCCCCCTGACGTGGACGCGGACAGCGAGGACCTTCCCCCTCCACCTCCACCTCCGACAGGAGAGATCGTAACCGCCGTACCCCTCATCAATGGCCAGCCACTGCTGGTCAAAGGTGACGCCCTTCACGGTTCCTCCCAAGAGCTTCACTACGTAACCACAGATGCCAGTGGGCGGCCGGTGGTTGCTGCTCTTCCAGGAGGCAGCAGCAGCGGTGCCAACGACAGGCCCGAGACGGGGATGCTGCAGCCGGAGCTGGTGAGCGTGCCAATCGTGAAGGGACCTGGAGGATTTGGCTTCGCCATTGCAGACTGTCCTCTGGGGCAGAAGGTGAAAATGATCCTGGATGAGCAGTGGTGCCGAGGTCTGTTGAAAGGAGACGTGATAAAAGAGATTAACAGGCAGAACGTGCAAACGCTGAGCCACGCGCAGGTGGTGGATATACTGAAGGACCTCCCGGTGGGCAGCGAGGTGAATCTGTTGGTGTTGAGAGGAGGTAAGAGAGCAGGAGGGTGTATGGAACATTGTGCTGATCATTTAGGCCATAAACATACTCTAAGCAAGCAGAAAAAGCTGAAGGTTTACTATAATTGTCGCTTTGGTCACTCTTGTGGCATCATTTGCATTCATGTTTGTTCTTGTAGCTCAAACAGTAGAGCATGGTGCTAACAACACTAGAGTTGATTCCCAGGGAATTCATAGCGCTTTTCACAATACAGATCAAAGCAGCTTTAGAGAAAATGCATGTTTCAATTATCTTTTGGCCTTAATGACCAGGAAATAAATATATATATATATATATATATAGCTTGAATGCAATAGAAAAACCCTGCTAAAAAGACTTTCAAAGACTTTAACTTTGAATAGCATGGAGTGAATATAAATGAATAAGGCTGTCAAACCTTTTAATCCTTTGAGCTTTTGTCAAGCCATTATTCAAAAAGTTTGCAGTTTGTCTTGATAAATCGTCTTTTTCTCATAAAATTACAATTATTGCAGTTAAAAGAATTTCTTCAGTAAAATATAACTTTAAATACAAATTCTGCATCATGTTTAGTACTTTCATTTTAATTCAGTGAAAAATTTGTGATTCATGGAAAGAGAACACTGTGCAGTAAGTCGCTTTCTTATACAGTATTTTTTTTGTTTTTCAGTACAAATATCTATATGTTCTTAATTCAAGATTTGTTTGAGATGCACAATGACATAACATTTGTTTTATGAGAAATATATCAAAATTAATTGTAGTTTGTGTTTTTTAATAAAAAAGAAATAAAAAAATAATGCCCGCAGTATTAGAAAAAAATTACTTAATTTTAATCTTAATTTTGAAATGTTTCTCAGAAAACAACATTTAGCATCTAACGTCATTTTTGCATCTCAAGTAATATTTAGATATTTGCACTGGAAAACAAGACAAAATACTGAGTAAGAAAATGAATATGCAGTGTAGCAGAGGACATTTTTCAAAATTAGAATTTTCAGCAGGGAATTACACAAAAGCTCTTTTCACTTTTTTTCACTCATTTTTTTTGTTATATCTGCATTGTTCAGCAGGTGAGAAATCAATTGCGATATTTTCCCCACTTCATAAGTTTACATTTTAGCCACACTCCTCTCCTCCACTCTCACCGATCATACTTGAGGTGTGTTTCTGTCCCCTTAGGAGAATGTTATGTAAGAATGATGGACCGTTGATCCTGGTACAGTTGGCAGGAGAGGCCCCGTTGCATCTTTTGCACCCACTCGTTGGGGCTGGCTGGGAATTTGGGAAATGAGTTTAGATCACAGGGGAATTTCAGGATGTGTCTGCAAAGAGTTCTGTGAGGATTTATTGTCTGAAGAGTGAGAGAGAAAGAGAGGGAGGGGGAAAAGGGGAAAAAAAAGATGAAGAAAGAGAGCAAGATAATGCTTTAATCAGTTCTGTTAGCCCTCAAAGGCTGAGTGAGTTTCGTCATTCGTTGTTTAGCCATTAAATTCAATGGAAATCACACCAATCCAGAGAAAGACAGAGAGAGAAAAAAACAAAGGGAATGAATAAATGGTGGTCGTTCTGAACTGACAGATGGAAGTGTAGCAACGTCATTATTTTATGCATGACTTCTGTCATTTGCAATGTCTTTCTCCCTGGAGGATTCATAATTTTCTCTTATGTACATTTATTCTATCCATCTTTAAAGGGGTCATATGATGCGATTTCAAATTTTCCTTTCTCTTTGGAGTGTTACAAGCTGATTGTGCATAGATAAGATCCCTGAAGTTGCAAAGACTAAAGTCTCAAAACCAAAGATATATTCTTTATCAAAGTTAAGACTCTGCCACGGCCCCCTAAGTGTGTGTGAGAGAGAGAGAGCGAGAGAGAGAGAGAGAGAGAGACAGGGTCACATCACAGTAGAGTCAGCTGTCTTAACCGTGGCTTGTGTACTGCATCATTACTGTGTTTGTCACGTGACTCTGTTCCCCTTTCGGGCTTGAACTGATGGTAAAACTAATGACATTATTTACTGTCTTTACATTTATTTTGAAAGATGAAGCTCGCGATTATGGTAAGGGGCGTTACATTTCCGAAGAGTGCTTGCGGTGTTCGGCCAATCACAATGCACTAGGTCAGCTGGCCAATCAGAGCAGACTGCGCTTGTCGGAAGGAGGGACTTTGTAGAAAACGAAGCGTTTGAGAGAGGCGGGGCATAGAGGACCTACAATAATGTACAGTATTTGAAAAATAATGTGTTTTTTGAACATTTAAGCATGTCAACATATTCTGTTACACCAAATACACAAAATAATGATCTTTTAAAACGCATCATATGACCCCTTTAATGTCTCCTAGATGACTCATGTGTCATGATTAACTCAGCTCGGTATTGGCTCAGGAAATGCCCCACTTTGAAGCACTTGAATGGTGCTTCCTCTTTGAGTAGCTTTTTAGTTAGATGGATGGGAATTAATAATGTAGCATTGAAACAATGTATTCTCATGCCTTTTTCATATTCGAGAGGCAACAACCATGAAATGCTGTCATTATAATAAGGCTAGAAACTTTCTATCCCAGTAACGAGTTCTTGTTTTTTTCATCTGTCTGTTGATGAGTGCCTGTTCCCCCATTTTTTCCTCCTTCCGTGCTACTTATGTCTGTCATTTGCCTTTTCTCTATTTCTAGGTCAGACGTCGCCTGTGAAGAGTTTAAGACCTGTGAGTATGATAATAGATTTCAGAGGTGATAATGACCTTGTAGAACTGAGGAAATGGCTGAATATTTTATTTTGTGCTGATGAAGTTTCTTCTCAATTATTGTTCGTACTTGGGGTTTGGGATTTGAACAAACCCATTTTTGTAAGTACCAAAGTTTGGTAGCTGACACGTCCCATGCCATTTGTACTGAATCGTGTGGCGTGTACTACTTTTGAAGTGATAGGATGTACGATTTTCACTTGAGAATGATGAAACAGGCAAAAACAATCCTTACATTGAAGAAGGGTTTTGAGGGATCAGAATATCATTGAGAATTATAATTAGGCCCTTTTGACCCTGGCCTGTAAGCACTGTAGTATCAAACTGGTGAGTGTTGTATGGACATCACTCACAATTACTACAATAAATGCTTCGAAAGACCAGTAAAAAAACACGAGGCAAAATGGCAAAAACATGAATTGTATGAGTGTGTTGGGCTTCATTTTCCAATGGGATTACTGATAGACTTTTAAATATTCCATTCAGTATCACTCTTGCGCAGAGGCGGACAGTAACTAAGTACATTTACTTGAGTATTGTATTTAAGTACACTTTTTGAGTATCTGTACTTTACTTGAGTATTATTTTTTCTGGGAACTTATGACTTTAACTTCACTACATTTGAAAGACAAAATATTGTAATTTTCACTCCACTACATTTCTATCAAGAAAAATAATCTAAACTGATAAATAACAGATTGGAGATTAAAATAATAGCAGCTTTGTCTCTTTTTAAATGAGTAATAAAAACTGAGATGAAAAAATTACTTAAGCCAGAAATATAATTTTACTATGGTAAAATAAATGTTCAGCGATATCTTTTGGTGCACTTTTTTTCTCTATATAATGTTGATAGGGTAACTAGTAAATGCTGTAAATTTGGTTATGCTAGCACGTGTGGAAATATTTAAACCACGTGTGCTACAACTTACCCCGCGTTACTTTGTGCCCCGCGCTCCCCTATTACGTACAACAATAAAACAGTGCATTGACATAAAAAAGGAAATTTACTTTTGGTACTTAATTACTTTTAAAAGCAAGTACTTCTGTACTTTTACTTAAGTAAAAATCTGTCTTTACAACTTTTACTTGTAATGGAGTAATATTTGACCAGCAGTATCTGTACTTTCACTTAAGTAATGGAGTTGAGTACTTTGTCCGCCTCTGCTCTTGCGCACACTTGCATATGAAGTGTGGGAATTTTCCTGTAAACCAGAAGACCCGATCCCGATTTATTTTCTCAGAGGATATGCCCAGTGAATGGTTTAAATGCTGCTTGTTATAGTCCACATCTGTGTGCACTCTGCTGGTCACTGTGTGAAGTGATATTAAAACTTATTCCAACAGATTATATTTTATTCCAACAGAGACCGGGGTTGAGTGCCAGCACTGAAACTCTGGACCGTTGCCATGACATCATGGTTCCCCAGGCTTTGACCTATCACTCAAACACACTGCCATGCAGCTCTCCAAAACAAGACGCTTCCCTCCACTACAGCAAACCCAAAGCTTTGCCGGAGAGCATAGGTGAGTCTCTGCTGAGCTCATCCAGCAAGAAGGAAACTCTTTTATGTTACAGCACCAAGATGTGGATCTGTTGGATTTGAAAATTTGTCTGAATGCTATATCCTGTATCAGATATTTCTTTTGCATTATCTATTTAAAGTATGGAAGAGCATTTTAGCCTCAGAGTAAAAAATAATTTAATAGTGTAATTAAGTTTAAAGTAAAAAAACTATAAGTATAAACTATATGTAATTGAAGTGATTGCCTTATGTTTTATTATAATAAGATATATAAAAATAAGATTATATATTACTGCTGTCAAATGATTAATCACTTTGATATAATTTTTTTAATATATACATGTATGTGTGTGTATTTATATATACATAATAAATAGAAATAGTACACACATATATTATGTAAACACAAACTTTTATTTTGGGTACGATTTATATATATAAAGGTCACAGTTATGTCTGATGTAACTATGTATGATACAGTTGTGAGATACAAAGATACAAATTTGCAATTATGTGATATAAAGTCACAATTATGAAATATAAAATTACATTCTATTTTAATTTAGCTTATTTTATTTAAAAAATTTATTTTAAATACATATACAGAACAGGGTTTTTTGTAATCTTTTTCTTTCACATTCAAATCATAATACATGAGAAAACGGCACACTAGAGTCAATATAATGAGAGCTGTAGGCAAATGTCTTGTTCTTGCATATATTCCACAATTTGGTTTAAGTGTGTGAAACTTTAAATGAGATTTATGAGCAGAAGATTTTCAGTTAATATCAATTTGTTAAAACGTTGTTGAATGGCTTTGGGATACTTTGAATATAGTTTGAATGTTTTATAGTACTTTTTTCCTTTGGCGCTTTACAATCTGAATCACCAGCCACTATTATTGCATGGAAAAGAGCAGCTGTTTAATACGAGCTTCACGTAAAAAAATATCATATGGTTTTCAAATGACATATTTGAGAAAACTATCCTTTTAATTTATTATCTGAATGCAGAGACACAGAAAAGGCCATGTGCATGGCAAATACTGTTGCTTTTATTTTTGGTTTTGCTTTTTTGTGTTGAATTGATGAATGTGGTTAATTCCATGTTTTCCAAATTATATATTGTACTTCCGTGTAATTCTGTCTATTTTAATACAGTACCTCACTATAAAGAGTTGGACGTGTTCATCAAGAGAGATCAGGAGACAGGCTTTGGCTTCCGTGTGCTTGGAGGAGAAGGTGCAGAACAACCAGTGAGTCCCTCATACTTCTGTAACCACATTACTGGATATTTATATTCATGGTCTGTATTTATGTGATTTATTAGCAGATCGACTTTCTGTCTTAACTCTAAAACAATCTGTCTAATTTCATAAGGTCTACATTGGTGCCATCATTCCCCAGGGGGCGGCAGAGAAGGAAGGCCGTCTGAGGGCCGGAGACGAGCTCGTTGGTATCGATGGCATCACTGTGAAGGGGAAATCTCACAAACAAGTTCTGGATCTGATGACTAATGCAGCACGCAACGGACAAGTGCTGCTTTCAGTGCGCAGGAAGGTCATTTACAGAGGTGAGCGCTGCAGACTGACAGGCCTTAGACATAAAACCAGCGCTGAAGTGTAATTAACTGCCTGAAAAGCTTTCATTAAAGGTCAGTCTGTGTAATCTTCTGCTCTATAGATGCCCTGGAGGATGTTTGGAGCGGAGCATTGACCCTTGTGAATGGCTCAACTCGGCTTCCACGTATCCAGGTGCCAAGCATCAAGGACCAGGGGTCGTTTGATATCACGCTCCATCGTAAAGATAACGAGGGCTTTGGCTTTGTCATTCTCACATCGAAGAGCAAACCGCCACCTGGAGGTAACAGCAGATTCATTGATGTACCAGCCGAAGTCATTCGGCAAATAAACAAGAACAAAAAATTAGATATCATTAGAACTGGGAATCAAGACCCTAGTGAAAAATAAATATACTAAAATGTATTTGAAATACATTGATTTCATGCTAAATCTACTACAAATAAAAATACCCTGCAATTGTACTTTTGCACAGTGAAAGTTGTTTCTTTATTTTCGTCCACTATAGTCATATATACTGTGTGTAAATGGTAGTCATTGGTGTTTGCATCACAACTTGCACTATTCATTGAGCATATTACGTCATCAGCGTTGCATGTTCATTTATTTAGATTTTAAGATGTCATGTTAAAAATACAGTAGTTTAAATTTAAAAAGTGCCTTGAGGCCCCTGTTCTCTGTTCTATTCCATTCCATTCCATTCCATCCAGCTGTTTTAGTTTTGCACAACCCCAGAATTGTTACATTTCTTATGATTCATTTCTTATGATTATAAATACAACACAAGCCATTTCAATTCTGCTAAGTGATTTGCCTAAGTGTGTGTTACAGTGATTCCTCATAAGATCGGTCGAATAATCGAGAGCAGTCCGACTGACCGCTGCGGACTGCTGAACGTGGGTGACCGCATTTCCGCTGTGAACAGCCAGTCCATTGTGGAGCTCTCTCACAACGACATTGTTCAGCTTATCAAAGACGCGGGGAACTCCGTCACACTCACCGTGGTTCCTGAGGACGGTGAGTGAGATAATGAAATGTCACATAAATACTGCCGCAGCACATATTCATGCTTTCTCAACCTGTGCCTCATGCTTTGATTTGTCACACTAAGGCAATAATGTAGCTTAAATTGCAAGGCTAATAACCTCAGTGAAATTTAATATCAATTATGCATGCATATTTAAATTGAATGCTTTATAAAGGGCGTTTAGACCAATTATTAGCCTATTTCAACTACAAATCATGACTATACACCGTTCATTTGTCATGTTTAATACATGTTAGCTCGCATGCATGAATTTGATACAACAAAACAGCATTAATTGGCACAGGGTTTTGCAGTTCAAATCTTCCTGATATTATTGTGAAACATTCATCATTAATATTACAGAAGTGTTGCAAATGCTGTTTCATAAGGGCTTTAACACTTGATGTTTATCACTTAATATGACAATCTGTTTTTATTGGCTGTTTAGAGTACAAAGGCCCGCCCTCAGGAGCCAGTTCGGCCAAACAAAGTCCAGCACCGCAGCACAAGATTCTCAAATCCACTCAGGATGAGAGGTGCAGTCCACTGTTATGTATTTAAACCACTTTAAATGTGCTCATTCCTTCTGTCTATTTGCTGTAAATTCATGTAATTTCAGCCATATACAGTAGCCGATAAAATTAAGCTCTCAACACTTACAGAGTATTTAAGCCACACTTCTGCTTTTTGTGTTACTTATGCGCAGATATAATTTGGATATGGATGAGATCAGGGATGAGCTCGTACGGACAGAGTATAAAGCTCTTCCCATGAGTGAACCGGGAACGCTGTGTGTCGCCAACTCCAAACAGGCAAGAGTCACACTTACATCACAAACTGTGCCTAAAATTTAACTTAACAACATGTCTAGGGTAATGTATAATGGAATATTTCAACATTGCATAAAAAAATTATGCAATCATTCTAGGTATTTAAGCCAAGACTAAAAACTACAATGGAAAATCTAAATCACGTCACAAAATCTAGTCAAGGATTATAATAAATTTCTTCATGCCATCACAGAAATAAATGAAATTTTGAATATATATTAAAATGGAAAACTGTTATTTTAAATAGTCATTTCAGAATTTTTTCTTGCATTTTTGTTCAAATAAATGCAGCCTAGTTGAGCATAGGAGACTTCTTTAAAGAAAAAAAAACATGACCCATAACTTTTGAACAGTGGTGTATATCTACATTTTCTACCTAGGGCTGTATTGCGGTAGAGTTGGAGCGCGGACCTCGTGGTTTTGGCTTCAGTCTGAGAGGAGGAACGGAGTATAACATGGGCCTCTACATTCTGCGGCTGGCTGAGGACGGCCCTGCTCTACAGGACGGCAGGATACACGTCAGTACAGCACACCACTCTTTAATAACTCACATATTGCGGATGGATTCTGCTGACTTTTTTCCATCTTCTGCAGTGATTTTAGGGAAACATCTGCAGAGTGCATTTAAATGTAGTAAAAGATTTAAGGGAAGCTGAATACTATACCTTTTTATACTCTAAATATTTCAAAATAGGATGTCCTTTTCATGGCTTTGAGTCCCAGGAAATACATGAACAAATGTATAGCTTGAATGGAATGTGGTTTGATTTAGATGAAAATGTTTGCCAGAAGAATTAAAGGCATCATGAACTGCCTTTTTTATTATTTTGTACTGTTTCTGAGGTCCACTTATAATGTTATCAAGGTTTTTACATCAAAAACATTTGGACAATTTAGAGGTAATAGGTTATTTTCTGTCCTGTTTTGACCCCCCTCATCTGAACGCTCTGTTTGAATAGACGTAGCGGATTGTAGACTTGGAAGTAAACGTCCACTGCTATGATTGGCTAAGCTTCAGTCTGAGAGGAGGAACGGAGTATAACATGGGCCTCTACATCCTGCGGCTGGCTGAGGATGGCCCTGCTCTACAGGACGGCAGGATACACGTCAGTACAGCACACCACTCTTTAATAACTCACATATTGCGGATGGATTCTGCTGACTTTTTTCCATCTTCTGCAGTGATTTTAGGGAAACATCTGCAGAGTGCATTTAAATGTAGTAAAATATTTAAGGGAAGCTGAATACTATACCTTTTTATACTCTAAATATTTCAAAATAGGATGTCCTTTTCATGGGTTTGAGTCCCAGGAAATACATGAACAAATGTATAGCTTGAATGGAATGTGGTTTGATTTGGATGAAAATGTTTGCCAGAAGAATTAAATTATTATTTTGTACTGTTTTCTGAGGTCCACTTATAAATGTTATCAAGGTTTTTACATCAAAAACATTTTTACAATTTAGAGGTAAAAGGCTATTTTCTGTGCTGTTTTGACCCCCCTTATCTGAACGCTCTGTTTGAATAGACGTAGTGGATTGTAGACTTGGAAGTAAAAGTCCACTGCTATGATTGGCTAACAGTTGTATATGTTTGACAGCCTACATCCTTTACAGATGGACGCTGCTGTTTTAGTTTAAAAACGCATAAATACTCAGTACATATAAAATCATCTGTAATAACAGACAAAGCAAAAGTGATCACGTAATGAAAACAGTTGAACAGACGCAAGGCATTAGTCACACCAGAGCCATTGAGCTGATCCAAGCTGGAGGAAACAAAGTGCTACTGTTACTGCGACCGCAAGCCCTCTTATCAGAGAACAGTGAGTTATAACACACAAACACACGATGATGCTGCTATATACGTAAGCATGCTGTAAAAACTTCAAGACAACATGGGTTGCTTGCTAACTTCAGCTTTCTTTCTTTCTCTCGTTCTCTCGTTCTCTTCTTTGCAGGTTGTGTAAGCTCCTCTGCGGTGTGTTACTGCCCCCAGGAGCATCATCACTAACAGCCTCTTTTTCTCTAGGTCTTTTATTCTTTGGTAATGGGACTTTTACTACACTTTCTTTGCTCCTTAATTGCTAGTCTTTTCTCTGCTTTATTGTGTACATTTTTGGATCTGTGAAATATGTTCATGCTCTTTGCAATCACAACACCATGAAAAATGGTTTCACTCAAAAATATAGCAGGGCAATGCATTTACATAGCAATTCATTAGCAACCAGCCACGAAACAGGCAAATACCACTCAAATATAATTGGTTACCATGGTACATTTTTATAAGGCCTTAATTAGTGTTAGTATTTTAATTCTAGGCAGTGGAACCAATGCACATCTTTTCGCCCTTATGTTCTGCAGGAGATGTTATCCTTCCTGATCCGCCGGGATCCAACACTTCCAACATTCCTCTCAGTTCTCCTCTCCTTCATCCGCCATCCACCTCAGCGAAGAAGGAAACGTCAGACCTGACAAGCTCCTTTGCCCGTTCTCGCGACTCCTTGGATCTGGCCTGCGAGGATCCTCGCTCTAAAGACAGCAAGAGGGAGAAACGTGCCAAACCACCAAACACCAGCTCTTCCAGAGTCCCGCAGCAACGGCGCATCAAGAGTCGGTCCGCTGAGAATCTCCTTGATCTCGGAGATACAGAGAAATCCAAAAGCCCATCCAAAGACAAAGCTTGCAGCCACAAAGAAAATCTGCAACAAAGCACTCGAGACTCCCACAAGAACAGAAAGTCTTGCCAACATAGTCGCTCAGTCAGTCCCCAGAAGTCAAAGCGTGAAGGACAGGAAGTAGTAATTGGCGAAGCGCAGGGACGGAAAAAGGAACGTCGCGTGAAGGGGACGGCGAGTGTGGACCAGAAGAAAAGTGACGCTGAAAGAAGGAAAAAACAGGAATCTAGAGGAAGGAAACTAAATGAGACCCAAGAAGGGGAGGAGAGGTGGAGAGCTGAGAGAAAAGTGAGAAACAAAGGAGAGGATCAAGTGCTTGAGCCAAAAGGGGAAACAGAGCTCAAAAGCACCCGAAAGAAGAAAAAACAGAGAGATAGAGACATGCGAAATGAGGACAGCCACATATCGAGCAGAGAGGGAGACAAGAAGAGCAGACAAACAAAGGATAAGGGGGATCAAACGGAAGAAAACAGGAAGGAAATGATTACAGATAAGAATGAAAGCAAAAGAAAAGGAAATGAGAGCGAAGACAGGAAAGACGACATTGTCACCACAGATGTGGCTCCAGTCACCACCAGGGCGAGTCTAGTCTTTGACCACCCTGGACCCTTGAGCGATGGCCTTTGGAAGATCCCTAGTTTTGCACGTATCCTCACGCACGAGGAAGCGATGAGAGATGTTTGCGAATAGTTTGGCGATCCTTGGGAATAGAAGGTTTATGGCCAAGTACGTGAATGCAAACGCTTCTAGCTGTGATTTCACACAGTTCATCATGGATTGCAAGTTGCATTCTCAACATTTCAGCACTATCGTGGGAATATCGCGAGTTAGTTAAACTGTCGACATGTTTATAGCTAGCTACCTAAATAACATCACATCTGGTTTATTGGCACAGACATTTGAAGAAAACTAGAGTACAAGACTAAGCATCTTCAAGGGGCAGTCAAAGTACTCAAGGGGCTGATTGAGATTTCTTTATGCATCTATGTACAGCAGGTCAGTGTTTCAAGCATTTGCACTTGTGTGGAACATTGCCTAGCCAAACTTCTCCTAACATGTTCCTTATACTGTAAAAAAAAATCTGATGTTGAGTTTAATAATATTAAATTTATAGAAAAATTGATACAGCATATAATACATTCTACTGCATAAACTCAAAAATAAAAAAGTCTGTTACTTGTGAATTGTGGCTTGCAAATAAGCCTCATGTTGTTCCAAACCTTTTTTTCTTCGGTGGAGCACAAAAGAAGATATTTTGTAGAATATTGGTAACCAAATGGCTTTGGCCCCCATAGACTTCCATAGTATGGACAACAAATACTATATAAGTCAATGGGACCCAAAACTGTTTGGTTGCCAGATTTCTTCAAAATATCTTATTTCATAGACTAAATGGTTTTGGGTCCCATTGACTTCCATAGTATGGACAACAAACACTATAGAAGTCAATGGGACCCAAAACTGTTTGGTTGCCAGATTTCTCCAAAATATCTTCTTCTATAGACTAAAAAGTTTTGGGTCCCATTAACTTCCATTGTATGGACAACAAACACTATAGAAGTCAATGAGACCCAAAACTGTTTGGTTGCCAGATTTCTTTGAAATACTATCTTTTATACCCTAAACCGTTTTGGGTCCCATTGACTTCCATAGTATGGACAACAAATACTATGGAAGTCAATGGGACCTGAAACTGTTTGGTTACCAAATTTCTTCAGAATATCTTCTTCTACAGTGCAACAAAATGGATGAATTGTTCACAGTAAGCTCAATAATATGCATTTAGAAAGTAAATAGGGTGAATTTTAATTTCACGCCAACTTTAAACCAGGTTGTTTATTACTTAGATAGGTAGCTATAAACAAGTCGACAGCTTAGAGGCACAGACATCTCAAGGTCTTAACTTTATTGCCCGTTTGAATAGAGAGGTTTGAAACCGCTACAGTAACACAAATCATGTATCTTCAGTGCATAGACCAAGCATTCACTTGCTTGTTTACATACTTTCCAAGAGTATGTTTTTGGCCTTGCACCTTGTTTTTCTCCATGTGGCTTCAGAGCGTATCACGTGAACCATGTTCATGTGCTTCTCTTTGGACAGTGGTCAGCATGAGCTTCTCATTCAAATTATTTTAAAAAGTTTGTAATAAGCAGTCTCACAAACAGACTGATTCGACATGGAGTTTCATCTAAACAGCTTTATGGAGATCATTGATTAATCATCTTGCACAGGCAATTTCTGAGGCTTTGTGGTCGAACGCATGGAACTCCGTTTTGTCCGGACAGCCTCTTTTAATTTGCTTCTTGCCAGCTGACATTAAACAACGTGAGGACTCCGTCAACATCACAATGCAATCCTTCCTTATGCAATTTAAAGGAGCACGCCCCATTAATCACCAAAAACAACAATGCAAGTTTATGTTTCGGTTAAAAACAGCACGTCTTTACCCCAAAGAATCATTTTTTTTCCCCCTGCATGCAAACTCCTTGTTTTGTTGCATGCGTTTTAGACCCGTGTAGTTTATCTCTAACATTTTCAAATGGTGTAAATAAGAACTGTCTTGAAGATTGGGGGCTTTACCAGGGACTTTTCAGACTGTTCTCTCTTCCATGTCTTTGATTCCCTGATCTCCAAATATTATAATTGCAAATGACCAGAAACTTGTGCTTTAATATACCAAGAACATGATCAAATGTTTATTTATTGAAATATGTATATGAATAGATACATGTAGCTATAACAGATTGTGACATTGATTTCGGTGTAGAGGTCCAGGCTCTTGCTAAGCACTGTGGTAGTTTTACCTTGTAGCAACTGTTTTGACTTGTCACAAAACAAATGGTACATGCAAATGTATTTTTAAATATTCTATGAAATCAGATTTAATATGGTTAATATTTATTTTATTTTTTTCCTGGACATGCATGTCCAGTCTGCTCAAGATGAAGGCAAGCAGTGCAAGCAATTCATCCCCTCGGTTATGAGGCTATACTGTACTTTACAGCAGTAAAGCTTTGGTTTATGACCATTGGAAGCCAATGCGCATGGGTGAACCTCATGAAGGTTGTCAAGGGGTCATATTTGATCTCAAATTTAAAAGAAAATATTTTGCATTATAGGAATAGTTCACCCGAAAAATGAAAATTTGCTGAAAATTTGCTCGCATTCAGGCCAACAAAGAATGAATGGGTGCCGTCAGAATGAGAGTCCAGACTGCTGATAAAAACCTCACAATAATCCACATGACTTAAGTACATCAATTATTGTCTTGTGAAGTGAAAACCTGTGTGTCTGTAATAAACAAATCCATTGCTTCTGGCCAAAATACTGACATATTTGTTTTGGACCGTTTTGGCTTGTAAACTGCGTTTAATCTTTGCATCTTTCCCTCCTGATTCACACAATAACTTTTTTTCACTGGAGAAAGCAATATCATGGATTGAGGACTTTTGAAGTTTGAAGTAAAAAAAAAAAACATCTTGATAAACGCACATCTTTTTGCTTCATAATGTAAATTGATGGACTGGAGTGGTGTGGATTACATGTGGGTTATTATGATGTTTTTATCACCTGTTTGGATTCTCATTCTGACGGCACCCATTCACTGCAGAGGATCCATTAGTGAGCAAGTGATTTTGGGTGAACTATTCCTTTAAGAAAATAAAGCCTGTTTTATTATTATTATTATTGATTTTTTTTAATATTATGACATTATTTTTATGACAAGTAAGCACGTTTACTCTTCAAATTACTGTTTTTTTTTTTGCATTAGGTTTAACTTAAACTTAATACATTTAATATTAAAATAATGTAAATTCCTTTAAGAAAATAAAGCCTGTTTTATTATTATTATTATTGATTTTTTTATATATTATGACATTATTTTTATGACAAGTAAGCACGTTTACTCTTCAAATTACTGTTTTTTTTTTGCATTAGGTTTAACTTAAACTTAATATTTAAAATAATACATTTAATATTAAAATAATGTATTATTTATATTGCACTAAAGTAACGAGTATCTAATAAATATGACTGCAGTGAAAAGCAAACCTTCTGAATCAATTACAGAGAATTTTTAGGGGAGAGAAAATTCCTGCATACCGTCACAATGAAACAAATCATAAAAATCCTACAAATAGACTTCATTAGGCTTCATTGTCTTCATGCAAATTTTGATTTTGGAGGTGAAATATGATCTAGACAGTTTTCTGTGATATTCACCCTAATGTGCAAAGATTCAGTCTTTAAATACAGATTATAAAGTAGGGAAAAATGATCCCTCCTAAAAACAGGAATGTTGCAGGTATAATGTCTTCTATCAAACTATCTATTTTAAGATCATCAGCTAATTTTTTTCCATGCTTGCTTGCAACACCTGATCGGTTGTGGGAGGTTTCTGAAAGGGCTGTTTTTGGGGGGTTTTGAGGTCTGAAATGTGGCCAAGATAAACATGTAAGGTGTGATTTCATAAGAAGTGATATGATCTATCAATACCAAAGGACTGGTGGCCGTTCCATATGCTGTGTGTGACGTGATTATGACCTCAGGGTTTGGATATGTAACTAACAGCTGTGACACAGCTTTGATATACAGTAAATGATGAGAACGCAAACTAATTACAAAGACAAGATTATTGTTCACGATAAGTTGTGGTGTTACATTGTGTTTTTGTGCTAATGACGGACATTGAAAACTGTTTAAATTCAACAGAATCTGAAGACATGTCATGAAAGCAATGTTAGCATCTGCTGTACATACGTAACTCATCTTCATTGTTCATATTTAAAAGTGAGGCCTAGAATCACCTCATATTAGACTAAATACATAGGGGCTCAGTATAACGTGGTCTGATTCATGTAAATGTTTAAATAATGTACAGCACCTTTATAAAAAATAGCTGAGTGGTCTCTCAGAAGAAAGAATAGAAATATGTATATTTGTTCCGTTATTTTTCTAAGTAATTATTTAAGTACGGCGGGAAAATATTTCAAGTCAGTGCAAAGAAAATAAAATCATATCCTGGTGTTCTGGTCATGTAACGCTTTCTGCAAAATCAAATGAGTTTTAAAATTTGTATCAAAAATCTCAAGGGAGTTTTTTTAATTTTTAATTTTAATTTTTTTTTATAAATGATAAGGGTCTCCTGAACAATCCACTTTTACTTCAAATTAACTTTTTTCCCCTTAATCGAAATCTTGCGACTTCTGCTTCAGAATAATGATGATATTAAAAAAGATGTGAATTATTCCTTAATTGGCATTTCTATATTTAACATCAGCTCGGTTTAATTTATATTTAATTAAGATCATTTTCTGCTGAGTTTTGCAGAGGAACAGGCAGTGTGACAAAACCGAGCGCGCACAGATAAGAGCAACGTTTGACTAATTTCATTATTTTAAGATGACTTGAAGCTATAAGATTTTAAAAATACAATGACTGTGACCATGACATTTATTATCCCAGCTCAAGTTGGCTACAGAAAGCCTGTCACGCCTACAGCATTGTCTAGATGATAAAACCTATGGCTTGTCACACAGAACAAAATGTAGACTACTTTAATGGCTTACAGTAAAGAAATATGCCTGTCTAAGCGGCATTTGTTCTGCTGAGTTAAGCAGAACACTGCTGTATCATTTCATGATTGCTCAGCGATGTGTAAAGTACTCAGTACCGTAGAGACTGGAGGAGGTATTTTAGGCGGTAGCAGAGATATAAAGGAGCAGATAAATGTATTGCAAACCACTGAAGCAGTGGTGAAAGTGGATAATAAATGTCTGACAGGTGAAATATATTAGGATTCTTTAACATGCAGGCCTTACGGTTTCTACGATCTGCCACCAGGTGTCACTAACGAGTCATTTCCAATAAAACACATCACTAATGTAAGCGAAACATTTGCTTATGCGGTCATATAAAATTTTATGTACTTATAATGAATGCACATTTTAATATATGAATGTTATAACGCAAAAAAATTACACAGCTGTGTGTTCTTGTTGAAATGCAATAGCTGAGGCTTGAGCAGTATATGTATTACATGGGTCTCAGTGCATTGCGAAAAACAGGAATGCTTTTAAACAAACAACCATGTGCCACTCTAGAACTTTACTCGTTGAACCTTAATTGCTGTGGACAAGCTGATGAAAAGCAGAAATGGTTTTTCTGTTATAAATAAGGAAAGAGTGATTGGCTTAGTGGCTTTATCTCTCTAGTCAGGTCAGGATAAAACGGGTGTGGTGTGTGTTTCTGAGATAAGCGCAAAGAGCACATTTGGAGTCTGCTTTAATATGTCTAGCTCTGAACGTTCAAAATACTTCCTTAGGGAACGAAGTTGATTTTATAAGGTCATTCCGTTTCACTGATAAAAGTGGAAGAAAATACAGCTGAAAACAATGAAACGATCACAGGTCAAATGTTCATGAATGGTTAAGATTTTTTTATTTTTTTATTAAGTTTTTGAAAGAAGTCTCTTATGCTCACCAAGGCTGCATTTATTTGATAAAAATACAGGAAAAATGGGAATATTGTGAAATTATTTTTATTTCTATTTGAAAATACTTTTAACATTTAATTTATTGCTGCAATGGCAAAGCTGAATTTTCAGCAGCCATTACTAGTCTTCAGTGTCACATTCATTCTAATATGAATAAGAAACATTTCTTATTACTGTCGTTGTTTAAAACAGCTGTGTTGCTTTGCAGAAACTGGGCAACACTACCATTCAAAAGTTTGGGTTAAGTAAGATTTCGAAAAGAAAAGAAAAAAGGAAGAAAAAAAAAACTATTCCATAAGGATGCATTAAATTGATCAAAAGTGACAGTAAATAAATTTATAATACAAGAGATTTCTGTTTTAAATAAAAGCCGTTCTTTTGAACTTCCTATGAATCAAAGAATACTCAAAAAATCAGTTTCTACAAAAATATTAAACGGTAGCATTGATGAAAAGAACTGTTAATAATTAATAATTGATGTAGTAGTAAATCAGCATATTAGAATGATTTCTGAAGGATCCTGTGACACCGAAGACTGGAGTAATGATGCTGAAAATTCAGCTTTAGCATTGCAGGAATAAATCACATTTGAACAGTTATTTTAGGTTGTAATACTATTTTACAATATTATGTTTTACTGTATTTTTGAGAAAATAAATGCAGCCTTGGTGAGTGTAAGACACTTTTTTCAAAAACATTAAAAATCTAAAAAAAAAAAACATTAAAAATATTTCAACCTTTTGACCGGTAGTGTACTTGAGTTTAGTTGACAGTTATTATTATTATTTTTTACGTCGACTTCCTGGAGTGATTTTATCATGGATGATTGTTATTTTTTCAGCAGATAAACTCTGTCAGGGTTCCCTTTAAGCTATGATGCTTGAATCATTAAACGCTTTTGTGCTTAAGTACACACTGTTACTATAGCAATCAAAACCACTGTTTCTATGGAAGTACACGCACACACACGCACACACTGAAAATAGCCATGTGTTACTGAAACACGGCAAGATTCATAATAACCAAATACTGATGTTAGAAATTAGACGTATGGTAAATAGTTACCATAAAGCACTGAGGAAGAAAATGCAATTGAAACTAGGCTACACTATCAAATATCATCAGATTAAAGCTTCATGAGGGACGCCCTGGTTGGGGAACACCCTTACACTGACTCACACATTCCATGAACTCTGAAAATGAAAACTGCCTTCAGCAGACTGGATTCATTTGCACTTTCGTTATTCAAATACATGCACACTATAGCAACAGCATTCATTTATTTAATAAATACTCTTAATCATGAACAGATTCTGGGGATGTTTCTGTCATGTTTTACATCTCAAAGTCATCTGCAATATAGGCTGCGTTTATTTGATCAAAAATACAGTAAAACATGAATATTGTGAAATACCATTAAAATGGTAAATAACTTTTCTGTTTATTCTATTCTATTTCTATTTATTTATTATATTTTCTATTCTATTTATAATATTTTTATTCCTGTAATGGTTATACGGAATTTTCAGCATCATTAGTGTCACATGATCCTTCAGAAGTAAAGATAATTATCATTAAAGATCATTATCAATGTTGAAAGTTTTATATACACACACACACACACACACACACACACACACACACACATATATATAATATATATATATAAGCAATTTCACACTCCTATAGCCTGTATATATATGTAAAACTGTTATCTTTACTTTCAACATTGATAATGAGTAATAAGTAGTTTCTTGAGCATCAAATCGGCATATTGGACTGATTTCTGAAGGATCACGTGATACTAATGTGTACATGGCTACTACAGGCAACTAATGCAAAAGTGACAAAAGGACAACAACAGTGTATCAAACAAATACAGTACAAATGCATACTCGTTTAAAACAATTATTGTTACACACTGTAAAGAGATTAAATACTATTTTTGAATATAATAGGCAGACTGTGTATACTGTGCTGCACAGTAAGCACGCTAGTATTTCATAGAGAGCAGCAGCCAGTTTCTTTGAATCATGTTGTCAGTCTTTAGTCTTAGGGAAGGGCAGGCCTACGTCACAGAATGGGCATGTTTCCTCGAACATTAGCGCAAGAGTGAGCTTCTAGATTCCCTTCAGATGTTCAGTCGTAGTACACGCCAATATAAGAAGCTCTTTTTCCTTTTAATTTTCCCGTGTTTCTTTTCCTTTGCAGCGGGAAAGTGACCAATGAAGATAATATGGGGAATATCTTTGTCCGTGTAACTTAGTGCTTTATCGTTATTTCATCATTTACGTTTTTCTGTCGGTTGTTGTATATTCACGACAAGTGTTTGTTGCTGAAAAACAAAATCTATTCAAATAACGATGACAAGTGTGAAGGCTTGGCCACTGCTTCTACTGCCGTTTTCACTGGTCTCTATGGGGAAAGGTAAGCTGATTTTAAATTAAACGTCTTGAATGATTGTTTTTAAACCCAGTCAGTCTGTCAACTTCAGAAACTTTTCAGCGCGTTGAAAACAGCCTGCCTGAGCAATTTCGAGAACAAATGCCGCTAAAACACGAGACAACCCTGTGTGGATTGATCTGTTTCTTTGAATTTTATGTTTTTAATAGAATCTCGAAAATTATTAGTCAAATGGAAAAATATCATTCTAAGAGCAGGGTATCAAAGACAGATATCGGAACTTTCCTGTAGGTGGAGCCACAATATAAAAAAGTGACGTGACATGTGGCCAAGTGACCCATACTTGGAATTAGTGCTCTGCATTTAACCCATCCTAAATCCACACACACAGCTGTGAACAACTACTTGTAATACAAATAAAATGCATTTAAAGGGGGGATTACTGAGGTTGTTAAGCTTTTTTTTTTTAAAGTCTCTTATGATCACCAAGGCTGCATTTATTTGGTCAAAAACACACTAAAACAGGTATGGTGTAATATTTTTAAGTCTGTTATGATCACCAAGGCTGTATTTATTTGGTCAAAAACACACTAAAACAGGTATGGTGGAATATTATTACTATTTAAAATAGCTTTTCTGTTTGAATAGATTTTAAAATGTAATTTACCTCTGTTGGCGAAGCTTGAAGCGGTGCTGCTTGATATTTTTGTGGAAAGAAACCGAGATAATTTGATGAATAGAAATGTAAAGAGAACAGCCCTTATTTGACATAGAAATCTTTTGTAAAACTATAAATGTTTTCCCTGTCACTTTTGATCAAACTAATGTGTCCTGAATAAAAGTATTTATTAGTTTACAAACACACACACACAAATCTTACTGACCCTAAACTTTTGACTAAAATCTTTTATTGTGGTTGTTGTAGCAGAGTGTCCATTTCCTGTTTTGAATGGCAAAATTGTCTTGTCCTCGGAATCCATACTGAAGAATAGCTTCCCAGACAATTCAGAAGCGTTTGTGGAGTGTGCTAAAGGATTTGAGAGAGATGAAGGTCCGACTTCAATCACCTGTGTGAACGGGGTCTGGAGTCCAGTGAAATTAACCTGCAAAAGTAATTCAGTTTTGACTTCTAAATTGGGACATTCCCCTTAAAAGAAATTGTATCAAGTACTAAACTGCTATGTTTGCTTTCATTTCAGAGATGGATTGTAGACAACCTGAACTTTCACCACATATGACCTACTTCATCCCTGATGGAACATTTTTTGGTGCCTACATTCAACCCATATGTGAGACAGGGTAAGGAACGCTGTGGCCCCTACTGTCCATATTGCACTCATACTTGCAATTGATTTTTGTTTTTGTCTTTAATCCAGATATGATCTGGAAGGATCAAGCCACAGGCAATGTCTTGTTTCTGGCTGGAGTGGAAGCGCTGAATGTATATGTGAGTCCTCATCTTTGGATAGATTCATATAAGTGTTATTTTTAATATAATTTTGACATTATTATAGTGTTTCTTAATATTTTAAATTAATTTGATACATTTTTATATTTTCATCTTAGTTAAAGTTTTAGTAATTTTGTTCTTATCTCTTTTATTTCTTATTAAAGTATATTTATATAGTTTTTCATCATTTTTCTTTCAGTTATAGTTATTTAAATGCATCAAGTTAAAACTAATTGAAAATGAAAACATTGCCTGGGCAACTTGCTGAAATAAAATATGTTTACATTTGATTTTAATTCACTTCATATTTATATTATTTTGAGTTTTTTTTTTAATGATTTTAGTTTACTGTAATAACCCTAATGCGCATTCAGTATCAACATCTGTGTTGTCTAGAGCAACTTCACAGTCAGAGATGTTGTAACAGCTTCTCTTTCACCGTGTCTCTTATAGTGACAGTATGCGAATATCCAGATCCAATTGAGCATGGCAAGAGGGTTGCACCCAGTGAACCTGTGTTTAATGATGTCATTACATATTCCTGCGATGATAACTACATCCTCGTTGGCAACAGCTCCATTACATGTGGTGAATACGGGGTATATAGTTCACCACCTCCGGAATGCATAGGTCAGTTTTTGGAATTAAAGTTTTTACTCCAGTCACATACATTTTTTGTCCTAATTAGCTGCATTGAATGACAGTGGGAAGCTCCACCCACAAACAGTTGCATGTCTGCATTTGTGACCTAGAGTGAGCGGCGGCGGCCTAGAGTGAGCAGCGGCCGGGGGCTAGAGTGAGGAACAGCCGGAGGGCTTGAGTGAGCAGAGGCGGCGGGCTTGAGAACGGCGAGACCGGCGGATTCGATAAAGGAGCGTCCGGAGGGTTTGCGGCAACCACACGTGACGACCCCGGGCTGGACTTCGCTTCGTCAGGTGTGGCTGACTCTTAACTTTTATAAAGAATATCTCTTTGGATTTGAGACTTTAGTCTTTGCAACTTTACAGATCTTCTTTATGCACCAAGAGCTTGTAACACTCCAAAGAGAAAGGAAAAATTGAAATTGCATCATATGACCCCTTTAAACCCAGTCAGTCTGTCAACTTCAGAAACTTTTCAGCGCGTTGAAAACAGCCTGCCTGAGCAATTTCGTGAACAAATGCCGCTAAAACACGAGACAACCCTGGGTTGGGATTGATCTGTTTCTTTGAATTTTATGTTTTTAATAGAATCTCGACAATTATTAGTCAAATGGAAAAATACCATTCTAAGAGCAGGGTATCAAAGACAGATATCGGAACTTTCCTGTAGGTGGAGCCACAATATACTGTAATTGTCAAGTGCATAAATTTAACTACTTGTAATACAAATAAAATGCATTTAAAGGGGGGATTACTGAGGTTGTTAAGCTTTTTTTTTTTTAAGTCTGTTATGATCACCAAGGCTGTATTTATTTGGTCAAAAACACACTAAAACAGGTATGGTGGAATATTATTACTATTTAAAATAGCTTTTCTGTTTGAATAGATTTTAAAATGTAATTTACCTCTGATGGCGAAGCTTGAAAGCGGTGCTGCTTGATATTTTTGTGGAAAGAAACCGAGAAATTTTTTTAAAGGATTATTTAATGAATAGAAATTTTAAGAGAACAGCCCTTATTTGACATATAAATGTTTTCCCTGCCACTTTTGATCAAACTAATGTGTCCTGAATAAAAGTATTTATTAGTTTACAAACATGCGCACACGTGGTGAATACGGGGTATATAGTTCACCACCTCCGGAATGCATAGGTCAGTTTTTGGAATTAAAGTTTTTACTCCAGTCACATACATTTTTTGTCCTAATTAGCTGCATTGAATGACAGTGGGAAGCTCCACCCACAAACAGTTGCATTGGTCCAGCATCTAGCTCCACACACTGTAGCTGTGTATAGAGTGCAACAGCCAGTTCCGGAAGTAACAACTCCATTTATTTTCTACATAGGGAGGTTGATTTTTAGCTATAACTTATAATAATGCACTCAAATATATTCTTATTGGCTGTTCTTGTGTGATTTGCATAACATAGTGTTGTCGTTTTTACTGTGGATGCCAAGTTTTTTTTCCACTGGAAACCTATCGCTAAGTAAAAGTATAAGTAATGGTGCTTCAAGATCTGACCCTTGATCAGTCTGAGCTTGTATTTGGACTCAATCACTGGTGTTGCAGCACCTTCAGGGCACTGCATGTTAGAACTCAGCCTGCTGAACTCATCCTGCTATTCCTGCACAGCACAGTTGAATTGCATTGCCCTTTCACTTTATTGTATTTTATTGTTTTGTCCTCTTATTGACCTGTTTATTTATGTTCACTCGCATCTCTAGGTAACCTTCTACTTGAAGGTCCCCTTCTTCTTGTTCAGCAGGTCCTTCAGGCCTTTTGTGATTTATGGATTTTTTTGTCTTAGTTGTATATGTTGAAGTGATCTGTAATAGCGAGTCTTCAGTGACTCACCGCTCCCGGTCTGTTTCCTCCAAGCCCTACAGAATCATCTCAGCCTCATGTTTCCATTTCATCATAGTCCTGCTGGTGACAGGAAGTTGTTGAAAAATATTTCTAGGGAGGCGATGTATCATTCTGTGAAACCATCATGGTGCAGGTTGGGGAGTATCGGATAGCTGTGCCTGGCAGTGCTGGAAGAACATTATACAAAATGCCATAAAATGAGTTGGAGTGTTAATAGTGAGAAGAGTAAAAAACTTCTAAATGTGCACTACCAATCACTTTTAAAGGTGGGGTAAGCGATTTCTGGTAGCCAATGTTGACATTTGAAATCACCAAAACAAACACGCCCCTACCCCAAAAGGGTCTCGCCCCTATTTTGATAGCTCCGCCCCACACATACATACGCAACCCAGGCAACGATTAGTTATGTGAAACAAAGCAAAACCAATGTTACACCGTGTCTACACCGGACGCGAGTGGCGTGGCGCGACAAAATACTATAGAACTCATTATAATCAGTGATCCTGTCTACACCATAGATATATATACACATCTATGGTCTACACTGGATGCGGCACAGCACGACACTACAATTCACCAACAGCGTCCGATCGCAGGCCTTCCGCTTCTTGAGTTCTCTCCAGCGCTGGAAAGCTGATCCGATATTTACACGGGTCCTACTTCTTGCCTTATTGCCTTAAGCCTTCTTTTGTTCCGCAGACGTTTTCCTCTTTTGTTTTTTTTTATCCGCCTCTATCTTTATGTCACTCGGCTCGGTTAATGTCCGTCCTATGCTGTGCACTGAATGCTCTCTCCTCCGGATCATGAGTAGACACGCCCCTTACTGCTGATTGGCTACAAGTTTGTTTTGCTACTCGGCCCGAATTAGTTTTCTAAAGCGTTTTTGAAAAATCGCTTACCCCACCTTTAAGTTTCCAATATGCAGAACTTTTTTTTTAGATAGATAGATAGATATAGATAGATGTAGATATGTAGGCTTAATTTTGTTATCAAGTGACTTTTTGAATATATTGTATAAATATAAAATTGAATATATCTGTAAACTGAACCTTCCGAACGCTATAATGGATGGGAATTTATATTCCAAGGTGTGCATTCGTGATATGAGTGATAAGTAGGCCTGTACAGAACCCGCAGCACTTCCTGCGCTGATTTTGAGGGAAACTCTGCTGCATTCTGCTTAGAGTACTGCTGCACTTGTAGCTAAAAGCATAATCAAATTAGATCAAATATGAAACGAATTTGTGAATGATGGGCGTTCCTGTTCTTCAGAAATCTGTGGATCTTTCTCCGGTGGTTTTGCATTCCATATACATTGTTCAAATCAACTGAATTGTCTAGATGTTTATGCAACATGTGCAATGTTGAATTGGAGAAGATGGCAAAAGCAGATAACGACGTATTCATTTTTTTTTTCAGTCATCATAACACCGACAAAAGCAAGCACCACCACAAACAAAGCCACAACAGACATGACAACAGCCTCCACCCGTTCACATAGTAAGGAGTCCAGCCCAGCTTTTCTTCAGGTTTCACACTAATTATTTGTTGTAATGGTTATTTGATTGTGTTTTATTGCAGGAGGACTTGTCAAAAAGCTCACTATTGGCTTAAGTGAGTTCATCCTTTAAATCCAATGATACTGTACTGAATTCAATGTTTGACTACATCACCCTCAGGAAAGTAATGCAGTTACTGTAGATGGAGGTGACTTTAGTTTGTCGTACAACATACGTCACCATATTATATAACAGTCAGTGATGATAATGGCTTATTTTGTCTTGCATAAGTTCCAAATAAGAGGAGTGATCACTACTATAACTGAGGGCCACCACATACTGTATCTATTGAAAGTTCATTTCCTGTTGTTCATGTGTCTCACTGTTATACTCACTAATAACACAACTGATCTTATATGTTGCAGGTGCCTTATTGAGTATAGCCATTGCCTGTGAGTATATGAATTATTTGGATTGATCTATGTACAGTATAGATAGTATAGTATATACCAGTTGTTTTGGGGTCATTAAAAATGTTTTAATAACTTTTTATATTATTCTATTCAGCAAGGATACATTAAGTTGATCTAAAGTGACTGTAAAGACATTTATAAATGTGCAGAAGATGTAAAATTCCTATCACGGTTTCCACAGAAATATCAAGAAGCATTGAAGACTGGAGTAGTGACTGCTTAAAAATTCTGATTTGCTTCAGGAATAAATTGCATTTTAAAATATTATAAAATAGGAAACATAAAAATAACAGTAAAATTGTAAAAACATTTCACATAAGAAACTTTCAACAACGTAAAAAAAAATCGTACTGACCCCATATTTTTGAATGGTAATGTATGTTGTCATGCTTTGGTGCCTTTGATTGTGATACACAGCTGTTCTTGACCCCATTCCAAAGCATTTGAAATTTGAAATTATCTTACTCCACAGTGTTTTGTTTTTTTGGATGTCGTAATTTAAAACGCAAAGGGTGAGTATATCTCTTTATCTGTCGATTGATTTAAAATCATTCTAGCGCAGCTAAGAATGGCTGACTTTCACTTCACTTCAACTGCATGCTGCTGTACACATGCATTCATCCACACATTAACATCAGGTTTCCTCTTGCCATTTCCTGCATGAATCCCATCTTTTCATATGAGGATGAGGATGGACAAAAAAATACACACGCACTTTGATTCATGTTTTTATCAATCAGAAAACTATCTGTCCTTGTGCTTGATTTGTGACTGGGGCACACTTTTAATTGTTCATTTTTTTAGTTTGATTCTCTTGTACAATGACAGAAGAAGTGCTTTTGGGCTAATAAAGCTTATACAATATCATAGAAAATAAAATTTCACATACTGTACTGGTTTGAAGGAAGTCAGAAAGTCCATGCAAGTTCCTACCTTAACATTCCCAGCATGCTCATCATGAGTTAATGGGCAAACAACCTCAATCTCAAGTAAATTATTGCTGATGTACCCCGTGAAAATGTATTATATGAGCCGTAGTAGGTTAAAAATAAAACGTTTTAATTAAAAGGTGTGCTGTCACAAAGGAAAGGCTGGTCTGGTGCTGCTGGCAAAATGACAGAAATAACTACGCAGAGCTAATGTATGACCAAATACTAATTACATCCAAACAGCATGCAGAGCGGATGGCTAATTCAATATTAACAAAAAATGAATGTGTCCAATAAATAATGTATTATAATGACTTTACTGTATCTCTTTGTTTGATAATGCTGCATAGTTCATACAATACTGGTGAAGAACTGAGGGCAAAAGAAGAGTTATTGCTAAATCAAAGTGTCTAAACTCAAGGTATCCACCCATATCTGAATCTTCATTAGCTTAATGTGAGTTTTCTTTTGTCTTGACTTCATCCAATGACTAATACACTCATTAGTTGTGAGGTAGTTCTGGCAAAATAGTCTCAATTAATTATTCTTAATGTGTTATTGTGTCGTGTTTATTGTCCTTAACGTGTTTTATCTGGATTCTCAACCACAGGGCAAACAATCGGACGGCTCCTTTGCTTTAGCGTTATTCCTGCACATGGATTCATTGAAGTTTCAAGTTTTTAACTTTTTTTTGTTGTTGTATTTTATAAACTAGATATTGTATTTATTTATAAATGCTACAAAATGTTTTGCTTTTAGAAATATATTAGTTATTGGTAAAAGCACAAGATTATATTTTTGTATATTTGAATAAAGATTGTTTTTTAAGTACTTGGGTGTGTTTCTTTTTTCCCCAGGATGACTGAATCCTGACCTCTAAATTTCCCCATCTTGTTACCAAGAATCCACCCAAAAGAATCTCTGGCACGTTTCCACTCGTGTGTTTTCACCTTTTAAAAGTGCAGTTTTAGTGCGAAGTTGTAAAGTGAGATATTGACAGTGTACCACAGCCGGGTCAGATTTTCTGTGACCATATGGTGACAGGAAACCTGATCCTGAATTAGCAAACGTTTCTAATGTGAGTTGTAATAATTCTTCACCCCCCTTTCAAAAGTATTCCTTTTACGTAAGCAGTAGACCACACAGCAATGTGGTTACCAAGACAATGTCAGAGAGAGTTGCTGCTATTCAAGCCAAATACTTCCATCAACTGGAGAATCATTTGGACAGTGTGCTCTATACAGAGACCTTGGCCAAACCCATGAAAGCAAAGAGAAACTAAATTTAAACGTGGTTCTCAAAAAGCTGCTAAAAACACTTAATTAAAAAATAAAACAATACTAGTCTATTCTTCTTACAGTTTAAAAAAAAAATCTATTATTTATTTATTTGTAATTGCTAAAGAGCAAAACTTACTGCTTTTAAACAAGTCCGGTGAAATGTTTTCACCCGTTTCATAATTTCCTGGGTGAAAATTGTAAGTCAAGTCTCTTAGAAATGTAATAACTTGCTTCTCATTAAGAATTGGAATGGTCTGATGGTAAATTTAAGTTTGTTTAATAAGTAATATTTATTTATTAGTTATTTTTTAATATTGCATATATGCTTTATGTATTCCCGTAATGATAAAGGTTTTATAGTTGTTTTATAAGTTTGGTTGCAAGTGGATGATATAAATATGTCAATATTTAGTTACACAACATATTTAACAAGTTAATTTTCCCTATGGAGATGTAAAAAAACCCCATATTAATCTAATTATTGTTTATTTATTGTGTTTATGATTTGGTGGTGGGTATTATTAACACAAAAGAAAAAAATGGACTGAAAAGGAAGGAGAGGAAGAAATACTGGGGAAAAGAATTATGTACTTCTAAAAGAAAAAGTTTGTGAACATTCCAACAGAGACAGTTAGCAGGACAATGTACCTTCACAAATGGCAAAGAATGTGGTGGTTTCTCAAGTTCTTATGGTGTCACTAACAGGAATGGTGCAAATTTAATGTACATTTTTTTTTGCTGATCACATACAATAGGGCTATTCTAAGCTTTTAACTTGGAAGAATGAGCCCATTATCAGTGTTAAAACTTCTCAGGACGTCTCGTAGTAACCCGGATCTTTTGTTATACGCTTGAGTAAGCATCTTCATTTAGCCCAGACGGTTTCACACTGCAATCCGAGGGCCCATAACTTCCAATCACAGTTGGCCATCTGGGAGGAGACGGCCAAGTGAAGAATTACAGAGAGGGATTTAACCATTAAATCTGGCCAAATGGCGTGTAATCAAATATATATTTAAGAATATCACGTATGCCGTCATCTTGGAAAAGTCACATAGACCAGTACTGGAGATGATTCATTGTTTGGGTGGATGCTTAGCAGTAGATTGTTAATGAATGGGTGTGTATTTACTCATGCTGTGGTACTAAACACAACCACAAGCAGTAAGTCACCTCTAACCAGAGCACTCTGACCAGTAACTGCTTTATATATGGTCATCCAGTCACAGGACATTTAATAAGTTGCCCAGCCCCAGTTTATGCATAGACTCAACTTCTTGTTCAAACTGAAGGTTTTATGAAATTCAGTAGAGATATTTTGTTGTTGTCTGCTCTTTTAATGGTGCTCTTAAAATTATACAGCAATATAAAAGATCTTTTCCTGGCAGAAAGGAAACGGGGGTCCTTGTTATTCATTAATTTGACCCAAAGAAGAAGGCAAGAGCTACTAGCATTTGTCATTGATGAATGCAGCACATTTCCTGGGCCTCAACCCGACAACAAGCTACATTTAGCACAACGTCCCTCATGTGGACAACCAAAAAGTTGGGACTTTTCAGATTATATTTTAATGACAGCATAAAAAACTGTCTGTGTAAAGAGGAATTGGAATCTTTGTTGATGCTGACATGTTAACAGCAGCTAAAAACAGAATATGCTAAGCAAGGGTTCTCAAAGCTGCATCTCTGGGATCATTTAGTGTTGGTCAATCGGCTGTCATGAATACATTAGAATACATCCTGTTTTAATTCAGCCATCAGACCATTAAATGCAATCACAGTAAGTGGGATCAGTTACAGATGCTGGGAAAGTGATCCCAAGTTCAAAGTTATAAATGCGTATGAACTCGTCTGGGCTTGGATTAGCTCTGATGCTCGCCTGGAGTCGCCTATTTGAGGAGAATCTTATTCGTGCATGTCTGTTTTTGGAGCCGTCTGTCTGTGCAGAGCACGTTTTGAGGTCACAGAGTGCCATCTAGCGGTGAAGGAGATGGTGAGAGAGTAGCGCCAAGCCGCTGTTGCGTCATCAGTTCCTCATGAACCAAGCTCGAGCAGATTGGCCTATAGTTGAATCTCCTCTTTCCCCGTGGAAATGAATCGATATATGGTCCATCTCGCAAACTGTAGTAGTGTCGTTTAGAATACACACGTGTGCCGTGGTGGAAGCAAACACGTATTTGGTTGACATTTGGACTTAAGTGTTGACCTTTATTTTATATTAAACGAAGTTTTGAGACAAAAGCTGGTGCTGCAGTGGAGGTCCAGGGTGAACAATCTGGATGTGTCAGGTAATAAACGTAAAGATATTTAATTAGTCACAGGTGCTATATCCTGTCATCAAACGGAATAAATAAAACTCTTTCCAAACAGGTGTTCCAAATAGCGATTTCCAATTCGTGAGCGAGTCGTTCTTTAGAGTCAGATCTTTTCGATGAATCGGTTGAACTGGTTTCATAAACTTAGGCTGTGTTCGAAATGGCATACTTGCTTACTGCTTACTGCTCAGTACACAGTGCATACTGCCTACTAATTTTTTTTTAAAGAATAGTGTGTGAAACAGTATACAATAAGCAATAAATGTTTCAGAGCATACTATTCACAGTATACACACAGCATACTGCAATATAGTATGGTAGTATGCCATTCCGAACAGCTTCTGTACTGATTTCAGTGTACTTGAGTTATATTTAGGAGAGTCTGGCGAATATAGTAGGTCATCCGGGTATTACATGCATACAGAAAATTTGCATACTATGCACAGCATACATACTGGATACTGCAGAAATAGTAAGAGTAGTATGATAGTATGGCATTTCGAACACAGCCTTAGTTATTTGTTCACGCATCCGACTGAATCGGTCTGGACGGTTCCCGAGTCAGCAACTCACTCAACTGACTCATTGATCCGGACATCATGACTTCTAAGAATCACTGAACCGGTTATTTTGAAATAAAATGTTCGAAAGACCCGATTTTCCGAAATGATTCTAACTTTCCATCACTACTTTTCCATTTTCAAACAGGCAGTTCCCTACCCAAACTCATTGGTTTAGATTAGCAGAGCTGCTTCGGAAATTTCTGATTGGCTAGATTATGATTACAAATCACACATCAGTGATATTTTTACAGATAGTTTATATCTTGTAGTATTTTTAAAATGATAAAGTCCGCACATCACTGTAACACTGCTGAAGTTCAAATGGATTAACATAACATGAAAAGGTTCCAACAGAGGCCATATTAAGACTATTATGCTGCCTGCTAATTGTATTGGACTGGGAAAAAAGAAACGTGTAGCATAAGAATAAACTAGTTTTATTTAATTCATGAAACTTATGCAAATCAGACATGCAAAGACATTGATCACAAACACTGCAGTAGTCAACACCATTTAGGTCTCCCATGTGATGTCAAGACCGACCCAAGAACACTGATTTCAAATGGTGCTAGATGCCATAAAGTACTCTATGGCACCATCTGAATTCAGCTTCCAGGAGCAGCACAGGAGGAGATGGCACTGGAAAACAAAATTCAAAAAAGACTAATATTAAAGATGCTACAGCGCATACTATAGCTTTTAAACCTCATTCTGTCAAGATAGTTTGTTCTGATCCATACTTTCTTTTAATAGGATTTATTTCTGTGAGACTATGTTAAAACTTGTTTCCTTGCCACTACTGCATATACCCGAGAGTAGAGGTATTACCTTTGAACTACTGTAGACCTGAGTCAGTAGAATGAGTACAAAAGAAAAGTATAGGGAGTGACCAAGAGGGAGGGAGAGCATTTGTTTACAAGTTTCTTTTTTCACTCTAGTGCGTCAGTTTATTCTTGGTTTGCTGCCTCTGCGCACCTGACAGCTTGTGTAATGCTGATCCAGCTCTTAAAGGGAAAGGCATCTTTATCGAGGCTCCGAACCTGCCATTTAAATGGGGTGGAAAAGAGAAAATATTGCAGTGAATATACAGTCAGCAGATTGCAAACAGTTAAGGCACGCAGTATAGTATTTTTTATTTCTTTTTTAAAAATACGATTTTCAACAAGCAGTTTATTCCCAATATTTGGTTGGATGCTGAGAAGATGTCTTCAGGGACTTGTTGGCTTAGGTTCATATAGTATGTTTATAAAGGATGTTTATCGCTATCACTACTGTTGGGTCTAGAAAGATTACGAAATTCATCTTTCTTGGACAAGAGTCAGGCCAGGATACTAAATATAACATCTTATATATAGCCTAACAACAAGTGATAAGTGAATAATTACTAATACTTTACTTTACTTTATTGTCTGTATACAGGTCCTGGACAGAAATTCATATTTGACACTGGCATAAAAACATAATAGACAGAAAACGTACTTTACACTTACATACTGTATAGAACACATGGAACACACAATATCCTCATAAAAAAAAAAAAAAAACATGAATACAAGGCACAATGTAATATTTTTTTTTTTTTTGCGATGAAGTGTCTATAACAACAAAAGTTTTTAACCAAAGGTATGTTAAGCCTCTTTTAATGTGTGATTCACTATTATTACTTGACAATAGCCCTTTACGGTTCCTCTTTTAGACAGATTTGCTTCAGCGATGGTCTGAAGCGACAAGAAGTGCGCACTTCAATTACAGCCAGTGACCTACGCAACGCATCTCTCGCTCGCGCAGCATCCTTTTTTTCTTTTCTTGCTTGAACGCGACGCATGCAGTTATGAGACAGTGGAAGACTCACTTATGATTATGTCATGTTCGTCCGCGACGCGTTAATATAAAAAAGGAGCGCTCTACGAAATCTCTTACGCAGGCGAAATTCCCTAATAAATCTCCATATTCTTGTCGCAATAGCTATGACGCAGTAATATATCTTAACGAATGCCTGTTGGAATAATTATTAGTACACTTCAATCTCAGATTTCAAGTGATGACATCAATTCGTCAATATTATTTATCAGATAGTAGCCTATTTATAAATGTATGGCTAAAAATATGAAGGCATTTAAAAGGATTCCTATATTATTCCTTACATGGAACACACAATATCCTCATAAAAAAAAAAAAAAAACATGAATACAAGGCACAATGTAAAACTAATACACATGATAACTGTAATGATTAAAACAAATAGAGCATAATGCCATAGGGGGTTTTAAAAAAATACAAATATAAAACAAACAAAAAATAAGGTACAATATATAAATATTGTTTATAAATTCACTATTATAGCATTTTTTTTATTAATTAAAAGAGTGTCTAATGCTGTCGGTTTTATTTATTTTTATTCATAAATGTACATTTTTACAAAATTATAACAATGTCAGGTCTACCGTATTCACTTCAGGCTACATACAAGAAGCATATAATGTGGCCTGATTGCGCCACCTGGAGGGAAAATTGAGCATTGCGCTAATGATTTGTTTACCTCGTTTGGTCAAGTGCGCACCAGCAAATATCTACTACAAGTTTATTGTTAAACACGCTGAAAAAGACAGATAGTGTTGCGATTTGACGTCTTAAGCACTACCCTAATAAATCTCCATATTCTTGTCGCAATAGCTATGACGCAGTAATATATCTTAACGAATGCCTGTTGGAATAATTATTAGTACCAATCAATCTCAGATTTCAAGTGATGACATCAATTCGTCAATATTATTTATCAGATAGTAGCCTATTTATAAATGTATGGCTAAAAATATGAAGGCATTTAAAAGGATTCCTATATTATTCCTTGTCTTACAAACAAATAAATTACTTATACCTCTTATAATAAGAAATCATTCTACTTACGTGGGTACATCCAAACGATTGCCTTCCAATGGAATATTTTTTTAAATAATCTACATGCCACGGATGCCTGCACTCTTTACTTGTTTCAATCTGAGCCAACTCCTCTCTTTCCTTGCTTGAGACGTAGTCTCCTCGCATCATTACAAGATCCGTATCGATTTTTCCAGGGCGAAATACTCAAGCCCCGCCCCCCAGACACTCCCCCGGCGACTGATTGGCCACCGCGCTTTACACGTTCCTAAACGCTTCTGGATCACATGTGCTTGACGCGTGTTTACAAACATTGAATGAGGTCACATGGTACAGGCGACCATTTAATGCGCATCGCTGTCGCAGCTCATAAGAGGGAACAAAAGAACCGGAGCCCAAGCTTACGTGAAACAATCTGTTATATCATGCCGTCGCCGTCGTGAAAACACCGTTGAGCTCGTTTATTTGATCTCATTCTTAGGAAAATTAGCAATTGTAACATTTTTCTTTCGTAACACACAAATATGTCCTCTATGCTTTAAAACATTTATAGTTGCCAAGTAACTGTGCTGTTGATACAGATATATTGAGAAAGATATCTTTAAATTGATTAAGAGAAGCCCACGTGTTACAATCTCCCATGTTGCAAACATATTACTAAATAAAAGCACATACGTATATATGACAAATTATTTTAGAACTTTCTTGTTGTTAAAAGTTTGGAAGATGTTCACAGTGGTTACTTCAGAATAATAATTTTGCTTTGTTTCTAGAACATTCTAGAAATTCCTGTAACAGTCTGTAATATTCTAGAACATTCCAGAACATTGTGGGACTAGTCTTCTCGACAAAAATCATCCAACTACTCTTATGAAGTTTTAAACTACTCACTGTTGGTTAATGTTTATGTTAAACAGTTGTTGTTAGCTCAGTATTATGCATGTACCATGTTGTCAATATATCATAAAATATGTTGATTAGCCAATAAGTCAAGAACAGTCTTCAGTTAGGTAATTTCATGAATGTGTTCATTATGCCTACCAATTTAGTTTAAAAGTCATAAATATTTTTATTATACTTTTGGCATTAGAACTTTAGACAAAAAAATCAAATCACTTTTGTACCCCCCAAATCATTTTTGTTGTTGTATAAATGAAATCACATTTCACATCTTTTTCTTGATGGAGACAAAACTTTACGCATTCTGAGAAAGTGCCACCTCGATAACTTATTTGTGACAACAAGGAAGGAGTTTATTGTTTTACCTCTATCTTTTGTTATTGCAGGATTCCATGATGAATTCTCACAGCTCTCCCAGATTATTATTGTCCAGTAACATTTTTCCTATGCAAGAGCTCTTTATACACACTAGAGGGCACTGTTTACCCAAAATACTCTCTCGACTAAAGCCATTGCTGAAGTTGTTAGCACTTACAAAGTGGAGTATTTGTGAACAAGTCCACATTTTGAAGATTAGGAACATGATCATTTTATTCCAAAAGCAATACCTCATCAAAAGCATAATCAACAACTGATCAATTGTTGCTCTATGTACTATTGACCTCAGCAGAGACAGAGGCATAGTGATTTACAGTATACAGTAGTGCACACATATGTGAGAAAGCGGTGGAGGGAAGTGTCTGGAAATATAGCATGAAGTGTACATGTGTTGGTCATCAAACTGAGCAACAGGGGAGGGCATGTGTCTGAGTAAAACCACCCGTCATGTTCATTCTCATGGGGATTATATAGCTGACAGGTTTATCTATGTGTGTGCGTGTGAAATGAATCAGTGTATCCCTATGCCTGGTTAGGAAGGTTGATTCGGTCTTGTGGAGAACAGAGATAGTTGGTCTTGTTAATTAAATATTATTCTATACAATTTGTTAAACTTTTTTCAGGTGCAACACAACCTAAACAAAAACTAAAAATCTGTTGCTGTATTGATCGTACAGATTAATGTAGCACAACAGTATTTACAGTTTTTTTTATTTTTTATGTAAGTCTGTCTTAAGTTGTCTCTGATTATCATGTTAGCCCTTTACTTGTTATTGCAGAAGAGTGTGATGTAGATCTAGTGTCACTGAGCGTGCCTGTGCTATCCAAACTCTTCCACTGAACATCTGAAGCTTGCAGCTGGGTCTGACTGAACGGCTTTATTTAGCTCCATGGTATTTAGACTATTTGTTGGTGTCTGTAAATGATCTATAAATAAAAGGACTTGATGTTATGACATGACCTATACAGTATTTTTAAAAATGTATTTAATATCAAACTCATATACACATTTTAGAATAACAGTAAAATCCTCCACATGTATATTTTATTCTTAAGAGGAACTGGGAATAAGTTTCACTTTATGTTTGGTTTATGAATATAATTGCTGTTTTTTTCTAGCTCCTGTTAATTTGTCTGGTTTTCATTGGGTAAAATTGATTCTGAATGTTAAAGATTTCTGTATTCCCCCTTCTTGACAGTGATTGGCTGGTTCATAGTTGGAGGGAAACATCAGCTCCGCCTTCATTTTGCCATGGCAGTGCTGGTCTTTTTTTCTTGCAGTTGTTGAATTCATCTGGTGGTTGGAGACTCAACTTCTCCACCCCTGTCTATATATAAGATATACAATACATAGTACAAAATGTTCAACTGTGGGGCTCCACAGAGGGTTTAACACACTTCACTTGATCCCACGACCGTGTGAATCCACTGAAATCTCATGCACGTTGCAAGCTTGATGTGGCCCAGGGGATATTACTACTGCCTTACTAGTGTTTTCTTTGTAGTAGCCTCAGTAGATTTAATTGTTTACTTAAACAGCCATTTAAAGCCGAAGATTTACGTTATTTATGAATCCTAAGTGATTCCTTTTTTTGTTGAAATGAAGTGATTTTGTTTTTAGGTGGCAAGTTACAATGTCGATTCTTCTCTGTAGTCATATTTTTAATGAACTTGAAAATCAGCAAGACATTGTATATTAATGCATTTTATGTGTTTTATCTGGCCCAGATGGAATGTGTGGACTTTTGCATGATGATTTTTGGGATAAATCCTGTGCTTTCGTTGGTATTCATTTAAATATAGTAAAATGTGACGCAAACAAAAGTTTATTCAAATTTTCCAGATTTCTCAGAAGGTCAAGAAAATTACAGTAAAAAAAAACATACTATGCTAATCACTCTAAATTATTGATATTGTGTTCAAAGAATTATGAAAATTGTGTTTTGTTCTCTAGTGGTTCAGAAATTTGGCTTCTCCACAATAAATGAAATGATATGACAAACAATATAATATAACAACATAAGAACTCACTCATACACATACACTTACACATGCTAAACAATAATCCTACATCTTCACGTTTTTCTTCACCCCCCCCGAGTAACTGAATGTCTAGATTACACACCAAACCAAAAAAGTATAAAACAAAATATACTTTGTATAAAAATATATGCAATTACACAAACAGTAAAGGTAAAATTTGTTGTTTGTTGTAGCGGCTATTTTGTCTTTACCATTAAGATGTGTGTGATGTCTGACACTCAAGAGTTTTAGCAGTACTTGTGTTATGAGATACCACTTTACAGCTTTTTGCATATTACACATTTTTCAGTTCAGCTTGTAGAGAATAATGTTAGAAATGCCAAGGTCCTGAGTTCAGTTTCCAGGAACACGCATACTGATTAAATCTACTTTAAAATATAAAAGCATCTGCCAAATGCAAAAAAAGTCTGAAATGCATAAGCATCCTGTACATTACCAAAATGAATCAAATCAAGAGTGGCAAATGCAAAATACTAACATAGGCGATTGAAAATGAGACTACATTTATGTCAGTGAAAGGCCAGGGTTGATAACCCCATTCTATCGGCTAAGAATCCTGATTTTAAGAACTGTTGAATCCAGACAATAGTAACTATTCTGATGTACCTGAAAATTTAAGGATAACGCTTCACAATGAGTTTCAGTTCGTTAACATTAATGAATTTGATTTCATGAACAACATTGACACGAACAATTTTATAGCATTAAGTTAATGTTAATTCATAAGTATACCATTGTTCATTCATTCATATTCTTTCATAATACATTAATGCTCATTTATACAACTTGATACGTTAAAAAATGTATTATGTTGTATATATAGAAATTGGCATCATCATAGATTAATAAATGCTGTAAAAGTATTGTTCATTGTTATTTTGTAATACCTAACACATTAATGTTAACCAACATGCTAGTAACCACCAACACTATGTAGAGCAGCAGTTGTAGACTTGAGAATGCTTTTCTAGTATGAATACTGTACATACTTCAGATTTTGGCTCATCTAAACGTACAGTATAATACAAATCCTATTCATTATATGCAGCTTACGAATTCCTTAAGCAGGGAAGATCTCAAGAGAAGTTTTGCACTGGTGGAGTCCAAACATATTTGAAAGTGTAAATGTTTGTGTATAATTGATGTGGTTTCTGAATTGTTATTCATCAGCTAACATTTCAGGCTCAACTGGAACCGATTTGGTTCTTTTATCTAAAAGGCTGCCCAGCAATCAGTCTTTTCACATAAGTTTCTCGTACTTTCATCACTGTTTTTCTCAACATCATCTCCGTTACAGTTTTTATTATCACACCTAATGCAGTTGTGCATGATAACCCATGATGTTTGTTCACTCTTCACGTTGGTCAATGGATTGATGTTGACTCCGAAAGTCGCTTACATCGGAGTATCGGCCACTTGTGTTTGGGTGGCGGAGTGTCCATTGGTGGGGGGAGATTCTGGAGACTCTCCATTGATGATAGGCTTGTCCAAAGGCTCCTGTTGAGGCAGAGGAGCCACAGACAGCAGTGTGTTGCCTTGGTTCTCTTGATCCACTTGAAAGGAGTCCTCAGCCTTGATTGGGACGAGACATTGGATAGATATGCTGAGCATTGATCCCACCTCAACCCTAATACTATTGATTCATTTGGAATGTGCAGTGATTAGATGGTCACACTCACCAGTCGTAGCCCTTTCGATTGTCCTCGATTTGTCTTTAGAAGGTATCCAGCAATTAGCAAAGCAGCAAGAAGCAAACCCGTTATCAGAAGAGAGATCAGGACAATTTTAGAGTGCTGGCCCATTCGGGACACCGCCTCCTCTACTTCCACCTAGACACAGACCAATTCCGAAACATGTTAGCTTTTTTTGACCTGGAAGTAGTTGTATTTTGTTATTATAGCTTTGTGTTACAATATTGTGTGAATTACGTGGAATTAGGTTTGTGTGAAGTGTCATATAGTGTGTTAATCTGATTTGTCAGCACAGCTGTTTACCCTTATAATGAATTACAGTCGTACCTTACCCTAACTTAACCCCTTAACTAAACCGCATGGTAAAATAGGCAGTGTTTCTGATTCAGAGGCCTAATAGGGTGTGTATTATTGATATGGACTGTCTATTTTTGTTTTCTTTTTCACTCCGCTTACTTCATTACATGACAAAGTTTTCAGCGTTGCTGACCTTATCGGTGATGTTGTCGTTGTTGAACTTCCCAGCCATTCCTTCAGGATCAGCTGAATAAATAAAAAATAAATAAAATAAATAATGACAGATTTTATTCTGATTGTTCACAGCACTGGAATATTTATCATACACCCATATTAGTCACTTATTGATTTATATTTGTATTTTTTGGCAATAAATTTAGTCTGCAGAGAATTTTTAAATTCCAGTTCAATTTCTGAATTTGAAGTGAGATGTAGACCGTATGTAGAAGTTTTATAGTCTGAATATGTAAGAATGAATTGAAATTCAAAGAAATTCAATGGCAATTTTTTAACTAGTATAATGAGATATATGTGACCCTGGACCACAAAACCAGTCATAAGGGTCCATTTTTCGAAATTGAGATTTATATATCATCTGAAAGCTGGATAAATAAGCTTTCCATTGATGTATGGTTTGTTATGATAGGACAATATTTGGCTATGGTTTGTTAGGATAGGACAATATTTGGCCGAGATACAACTATTTGAAAATCTGGAATCTGAGGGTGCAAAAAAAACCAAACAAAATATTGAGAAAATCGCCTTTAAAGTTGTCCAAATGAAGTTCTTAGCAATGCATATTACTAATCAAAAATTAAGTTTTAATATATTATACATATTAAATATTATACAGTAGGAAATTTACAAAATATCTTCATGGAACATGATCTTTACTTAATATCCTAATGATTTTTGGGGGAAAAAAAATCAATAATTTTGACCCATACAATATTTTTTTGGCTATTGCTACAAATATACCCCAGCTACTTAAGACTGGTTTTGTGGTTCAGGGTCACATATGTTGAATGTTGGCTTTAAAAAGAATTTAAGTTTGATGCTTTGAATGTCATCTATATTGTATTTCATATCTATAATATTAGATTTATATATCTTATCATATTTAATAAAATATACTTTTTTATTTTGTCAGGTGGGCCTATATCAAGTCAAATTCACACGCATTAATTTTAATTAACTGATATTTTAATCTGGCGGTTTTATGACATTGATAGCAGTGTTTTTGCTGTACATTTTCTATATTCGACAAATATAAAACAAGCAAATAAATAACAAAAAGAAGACAACACAAACCTTCAATGCTGTCTCCATAAACAATGATCTCATCCGTGTTGTCTTCCTGATATATTTCAAGTTTGCAGTCTTCACCGCAGAGATGTTCTAGAACACTCTGTATCCTGAGTTTAGTCTCTTCCTATTGGATGAAAGAGTTTTTGAATAAGTGTAGGACACTTTTAAATGCATATATATGTATGTATATGTGTGTGGTTATTTAACATGTAAACATGATGAAAAGAAAGCAGAGTGATGCATTAAGCCTTACTCTCTTTTTCTCCCCTTTCTTTCTCTCTATCTCTCATATTTCTTTCTTTCCTGGAATGTGGTGTAATATGACGCCTGTATGTTCAGGTTTTCTCTCTTAGCAACAGCCTCCCCTTCCACTCAATCACAGTTCTCCAAGGGACCATTGGCGAATAGAAGAATTCCTATTTTGATCATAATCCTTATGATTAACTCTAGAATAATATCAAAATACTAAAATCGATAGTTATGTTGCTAATAAACTGAGCAAACTTTCAAAAATTAAAAGTAATGTATAAATGCTACAATATATAAATAAGACAGAAGCAGTTTAACTTACATAATTTTCCTTCACTTGCTAAACAATTGGTTTTCTTTTTTGTTAAAATAAGTGTCAAATTTGTTCTGAATTTGATGTATTATGCAAGTCATTCTTGATGTCTTTTTTTTTCTATTTTACTACTAGTAATAGATACTTTATTCTATTGAGACTCTTTACTGGCTCTGAAACTAAACCTGGAGGCCCGACTGTGCATCTTGGCAGAGTTCCTGGCGTGAATGCCGAACTGCCGCCGCCCATAGCGTGTAATGGAATGCCATTGATGTGCAGGCCACAAGGCCTCTATGATGGGTCCACCCAGCGAGACCTTAGCTTAGCACATAGCATAACACACTTTTTAGGGTCTCTATAGGATGACTTATAAAAAGACTTAAACATCTTGTATAAAGTCATAGTTGGCAAAAGGAAGACACACTTAGCAGTCTCTCTATTGTTTTGTCTGTGACTAAAGGCTCTGTTTTTATTGTAGATTATGCTGATCACCCTTTAGTGTGGGTTTTCTGAAATTTAAAGGTGTGTGGGTATGTCTGAGTGATTGCTAATTGGTGATTCTCATGAAAACATGTGGTCACATTACACTCTAGATTTTTTTTTGTAATTTCCACTGTTCTCAAAGACAATATTTATTACTATAATAGTTTTTTTATAATTATTATAATTTTTTACATTAATGCAATGCTTGTTTTTGTTTAAAACAGTATACAGTACATTAATGCAACAAATGATGTCATTATGTCTAAGTGCTTTACAATTTAAATTTGCATAACGCCGCCCAAATTTTCACGCAAAGAAAGAAGGTGTAACTTGCACCATGGCGGAGCAGGCAGTTCAGGAGGCCATGGCGGAGTAGGGAACTCAGGAGGTCATGGCGGATCAGGGGACTCAGAAAGCCATAGCGGAGCAGAGAGTTCAGGAGGCCATGGCGGAGTAGGGAACTCAGGAGGCCATGGCGGATCAGGGGACTCAGAAAGCCATGGCGGAGCAGAGAGTTCAGGAGGCCAAGTCAGAGTAGGGAACTCAGGAGGCCATGGCGGATCAGGGGACTCAGAAAGCCATGGCGGAGCAGAGAGTTCAGGAGGCTTTCGGGGTGCGGGCTCTGGAGGATGCTTTCGAGAAGCGGGCTCTGGAGCTGGAGCCGACCCTGGAGCGAGCTCTGGGGCTGGAGCCGACAGCCTTTTCCTCCTCAGGTTTCTCCTTTGATTTGTGGTGAGGCAGGAAGTTGCTGTCGGCTGAGGGCTTGGCTGAGGGCTTGGCTTCGGCGCGGCCGGCGGGCTTGCCACAGGAACGGCCGGCGGACTTGAGAATGCCGCGGCCGGCGGGCTTGAATTCGTGGCGGCCGGAGGGCTTGAGTGAGCTGCGGCCGGCGGGCTTGACATCGGTGCAGCCGGTGGGCTTGCCACAGAAACGGCCGGCGGGCTTGAGAATGCCATGGCCGGCGGGCTTAACACAGGAAACGGCTGGCGTTTCTGGGCTGAGGACAGAGACGGTGCTGGAAGGAGATGGGTGGTCGGAACATTTGGCCGGGTATGTGGTATACTCCTCCTGACGAGGAGTGAGCTGGCGAGGCCCGATGGTTTTCGGGAGGGACTGGATGATGATCGCTCTGAACCTTTTCTACTTCGAGATTAAATCCTTTTAAATAAAGGACATGATTAACCAACTCGATCAGGGGAAAACTGTACGTGGGAAGATCGCAGCCGATTACGTCATCATCCAGCCCCAGCCGAAAACAGACACAGAAAATGGCATCGAACCAGCTCACCTGGTTGGAGAGCTCTAGGAACTCCTCTACATACCTCTCCAACTCCAGACCACCCTGCCGAAGACACTAAAGCCTGTCTTCAGCCGTAGTCATCTTGTTTGGTCCGGTATTCTGTCACGTTTCACTTGGAGCAAGGGAACGAGGAGACGTGGGAGTTGCTCAAAACCAACAGTCTTTTAATGCAACAACACGGAATAGAGTCTGACATTATGGTAATAAAAATTGCCTTCATTTATTTAAGCAAAATGCCATTTATGTTTTTTTTTCAGGGTGAAATATTCACAATAGTAATCTAAAATAATATAATATAGGTTATCAAATTAGGCTCTGGGCTTTGGAAATGTTAAAAAATAATAAAACAATTATTTTAGTTTTATTTTTAATTATCATGTGTTCTGCACAATGTGGGTGCAGATAGGCTACTCGCAACCTTGTTACTTGGATGAAATTTTTTTAGAATCAGTTTGAGTACTACTGGCCTGTTTTGGTCTCTATAGTTTAACTAAAGCTTAGGTGAGTTTTCCAACTCTCTACCTAATTTCAAACCCCCTTTTAAACTAGCCAGAAGGGATCTAGAATCAGCACTGCTACTATTATATAATAATATTTCCCCAGATTCTGCCCAATTATCACAGGATAAATCCAGACCAGTACTTACACATGTGGAGGAGGCCTTTAGTTTCAGCAGCACATCATATTTGTATCGCACCGGTATCTTATCCACGCAGACCACATTGACCTGCAAAATAAACACAAATAAAGGACTAGAAGTCTTCTTAACCATACACATAATGGATGGAGCTTGACGAATAATGAATTCTTTGATTATGTTTTTTGAAGTACAGTACGGAGTGTCCCCACCTTAGAAGTGACACTGTTTTTTTCAGGTGGGTTTGGGTCAGTCTGATCTGGGGTCTTTGTGTCAGGTTGAGTTGGCTCAGTGGTCTCAGTTTGTGGCGTCTCTGAATCAGGTGACATGGTGGGTAAAATTAAAATCTGGATCTGGGGATCTTCTGTGAGAGAAATATACTTGTAATTACTTGTCCAAGTGTTGTGGTCATTGTCGGAAAGAGTTGTTTTTCGCATACAGTTTAATTTTGAATGTGAAGAACATGGTCATAGTTTAGTGAGGTAAATTCTACTTTTTAGACTTACAAATGGATTAATTATATCACATCTAATCCAAACCAAACTTGAATTGTAATGTCATTTAAAACAACAACATCACCTGTTTTGGTCATAAATACCTAGATATTTTTCTTGCTTTTTTTGCTGGCTGATGTTGTGTAAATTAATCAGCTCAAAACTCAAGGGAAAAGGAATTAAAAGTGATTCATGTTTTTAATTACAGAGAAGGCAGAGAAGATATTATGTCCAAATAGCACCTTTATTAATCCATTAATGTTTCATTTATTCCTTTGCTGAGTTTAGCATGGATTATTTTCCTTTTTTTTTTTTTACCTTTGCTGTGCACCTTTGCTGTTGGAAGGAGTGGGTCACCATCCCCACGGATGATTCTGTCCGAAACGTCATACACATCATCACAAATCACAGCTGAAAATTAAGGTAAATGTTATCAGGGCGGCTCATTCAAACTAACTGCATTCAAAGTGTCATGATATTAAGTTGTGATACTCTAATTTTAATCTTTCTCAAACATTCAGTCTTTGTTTGGCAGATAATAAAATGAGCAAAAGATACACAATAGGCGTGCACTGAAGGAGGGATCTGAGCAAGAAATTAATAGGTCTGTTCTGCAGGGATGCATTAAATTGCTAAAAAGTGACAGTAAAGACTTTTACGTTGTTACGAAAAACTATTTCAAATAAATGCTGTTCTTTTGGACTTTCTGTTCTTAAAATACCCTGAAAAAATGATTGCAGCATAACTGTTTTCAACATTGAAAATAATGAAAAATTAGCAAATTAGCATATTAGAATGATTTCTAAAGGATCACGTGACACTGGTGACTGAGTATCGAGAGTAAGAGTATTACTTAGTATTATAAAAAAAATGAATTGTTTTATTACGTCTTAAATTGATTTTTCCGTACATTTCTGCCATATGTACATTAATTGATAGTCCCCACTGATAAGCTACCACTAAATATTGTAGAAACTTAATTTGCTGTAAAGTTGCTTTGCAATGATTTGTATCGTGAAAAGCGCTGTACAAATAAACTTGACTTGACTTGACTTGACTTGATGCTGATTTGTAATGATATATCACAATATCACTGTTTTAATGGGGATTTGGATTAAATAAATGCATTCTTGGTGTGCATAAGAGACTTCTTTCAAAAACATAAAAAAAATCTTACTAACCCCTTGGTTATAGGCACCACTCACATATTTTATTTGGAAATGTGTCTAGTTAGATAAAATTATTAGAATTAATAAGCCTTAACTGAGCTATAAATCATCAATATTGTGTTGTGTTGTTTAAAATCTTGTCACGATATTATTGCATTGGCAGTGTTCCATAGACTCAAATCCAATTAGCATTTCAGTTAAAGTTTTTCTCTGTTTCCCCCCTCTATTTAATTGAGCTGTTTTCTGTCTTCATCACCCACAATCATTGTAGTGTATGAGTTAAAAACTTGTGTTAGAGCCAACACATTGAGCCATAGAGCTTATGTGGGCGAGGTGCGCTTGAATCTGTCTGGTGAACATTTTTCTTATTCTGTCCTAACTCCTATGCGTCCTTTAAATTGTTGCTGGTGCTGTAGTTGATGAAGCTTACGAAACTCAATCTTTGAAATCAGAGGAATGTTTAGCATTGGCTTAGCGTGCTTAACTCTGGTTCAAGTCGATTAAATTGCATAATGTTTTTCAGAGCCAGAGGAATGAACACTGACCTAATTTCTGAACAGCTCTGCCAAGGGCTGCACCGGTTCGAATCAATGAGGTAAATGTGCTGTGTGTAATTAATAGACTAATTGAGCATGGTTACATCAGCACAGACTGAGCTAATAAAACCGTAACCTCACTCCTCCTCCCTGCTACAAGAGGTCCTGACCTCTGACCCCGTCCCTGCCTCAACACACTCCCCTCAGTCAGAGGTTAAAAAGAAAAGAATAGTCAAAGAAAAGGAGGCAGGGAGATGGAAAGAGGAAATAAAAGACTCGTATTCATGTCTTTCTGGAGCCATTTATCATTTGCACACGATTATGTGCTGAAAAATGTGATTTATGTGATTTTCTGCTAGAGATGTTTTGAATAAAGGAGTGATTCTATTTTAAAGAGAGATCTTTTTCTGTCTTCGGTCATGTGTCAGCGCTCAGCATGATACACATGAAACCTAAAGCGAGACAGTACTGAGTCAGATCACTGTCAGAATGATTTAGTGCGCTCTAAGACATCCGTTCCATCATTATAATGAAACGATTATTTAGCATTATTTGCATAATTCTCTTGAGCATGCAGCAAACTATTCTCAAGTTCACCAGTCTAATTAATTCTAATGGATCTTTTGATTGGTCATACACCACATTTTTGGAAGTCAGCAAATGAGATTTCCCATGTTTTTATTTTGCCTGTAAATTAAATAGCCATGAGAAGTAATGATATGATATGATATGGTAGCGTTTCTCTCTTGGATGAATCTCTTCTGCTTGTATTATTATATTTATAAGTCAGGATAAAGCATATGTAACTGTATCCTGATCCTGAATGGTGCAAACTCTGCCAAAAATTAGCTCTGAATGCAATTTGCACAATGCAATTCCCTATCTTTTAAACCAGGTTTGAGTGTTAGTTTGTGGAGGCATAACTGTTTAGTGAAATCATCCCTAAGTGTTTTGTAAATTAGATTTATAAGCAAGATTATGTAGCTTCTCAAGAATAATAGCCTACATTCCACTTCTGTGTAATACACTTTCCAATGTATGAGTAACTGGCTGATTAATGAAAAGATTTAAACCGGAGAATTTACATGTACTAAAACAGTAAATTGTTTGTCATCAAAACTCTGTCACTTGCAAGACATTTTATTAGTATTGCTGACTAAAGAAATGTATAATATTTCTCTTGTCTACTGACATTCAAATGAACTAGCTAGGGTTTGCTGTGGATATTATCCTTACAAATATTGCTTTCATTATTATCCTTAGAATCCGTGTGAATCCCTTATTTGCTTTTTGCATGTTTCTAAAAGGAAAAAAAAAGCACAAATGTGATTTAATATCTTGTTAATATCTCTTTAATATCTCAGTTATGTCTCCTTGCCAGCAATGGGATTAAATGAAGAGCCAATGGAGACTTTTACCTTCTTGTCTTGAGAGAAAGAACCCAGTCTCTAGACCTTCAGAAGAGATATTAATAGGATCTCAAACTGTGGTCAGGTTTGCCATGAGTTTTCAGTATAACCTTTCAACATGAAAATTAGAGTTTTTATAACTCTGCTGTATAGCAGCTCTATATTCTAGCTGCATGCCAGCAGTTGTTTTAATTATTTCTATGTTTAAGACTCCTGAGCTATGAAAGAGCGTTTCTGACGTTACAGATTAATTCATGCCAAGGGTTTTGTTTCCATCACCGTTAGCTGAAGTCACCAGATGTGCACATTAAAATCTTGTTTTCTCCTCCTCCTCTACTCCAGAGTCCACCCTCTTGCTTCTCTGAGCCCCTCGTTCCTAGCATGACCTCACCTCAGCGGTATTCACTCATTCACTCGCTCCCCCTGCATAGGCTCCTACCAGCCTGATATGACTTTGTTTATTTCCCTTCCTATAAATTGGTTAAACAGTGTGTGTGGTATCAGGCGTGTGTGTGTCTGGTATTTCAGAGGTGTATTGTTTTGATGGTTTAATTAAATTTAGAGGCACTTGCAAACAGAGCAACTGCACGAACGTCTTATTAACCAACACAGATGTAATGATGCCTATGCTTTTTTTCTTAAAGATTTGCATTGCTTAGTGGACAGCATGCTGAACTAAAACATTTTATTAGGTATATTTCAGTGCCAAGATAAAGAGATAACCCTAAACTGACCCTTGGCTGGAATCATTTGCTCTGCTTCACTTCCTTCCATCCTTCCTGTAAACTGACAGACAGATGGGTTTTAATGAAGTTTACCTTTCAGCCGTTCTGATAAAGCACAACCTGTTTTTATTCAGAAAAAAAAAAATGTATACCAATGACCTCTTTTGAACAGTAGTGCAAACAAGAGGAAAACATAGAAAAAATGGGTATCACAGAAGAACATTATCTAGTTTCTAGTTTCATTATCTAGTTTCTAGTTTCTCCATATAGCCAACTGATCTTATATTTTGTTTTCTTGATAAGAAGAGGGTTCTTAGACCATTGAAGGCTAAAATTGAGATGGCATGCTAACAATGAATTTCACTGCAGTTTATTACACACTTGCCCATCACAGCTGTTGTCCTGTGCTATAGAAAGCATACTGAATCTGGAGGTGACAGCAACTTAATATACAGTACACTTTGCCTTTGTTGTCGGTTACTTCTGGACCCTTGTGGAAGGCTCATTACATCTTTGGTGTTGTTTTCAACACGACTGTGACTTGTGTCTGGTATTGATTGTTCAGTGAATTTCTTGTTGAATGATTGCTGTATGTTTTTCCATTGTATAACGAAAGCGATTGCTTACTTGTAATTTTATGAATATTTGTAGGACAGGTATCAGACATTTTGTCTAGATATGATATAAAAATAGATAATATTATAGCCTATTGCAGCAATAGAAAAATACATAATTTATTATTTTATATGTAATGCATACATTAAAAGAACAGTAAAAGAGCAACTTCTGAGCATTGGTAGTTGTACCAACAAACTACTGTACACTGAACTGAATCGTGTACAAACTATTTGAAAGCATTAAAGACTTAGCACCCGCAGGCACTACATAGTTCAGTAGATGACAGAATAAATTAAACCATATCAATAGCTCTGAATAACAGTGGCCTGTATAGAGGGAAGGCACAATAGAGCCCATTACTCAAAGAATCATATGAAAGCATGGGTCCAGTTTGCCAGAAGGGATATTAGTAACCCAGTTGTGATGTGAAAAAAGATTTTGTGCTCACATGAGAACAAGAATGAGCCTTTTCTCCCCCATTTTTGTACAAATTTGGTACAAATTTAATGCATCTCAAAACACACCATAGTGAGTGGTAGAGACGTGTTAGCATCAGGGTCACAGGGAATGAATATCTGGCTAAAATAGAGGCAAAAATGGGACGATTAAAGAAAACCTTTAGCCAAATTAAAGGGATAGTCCACCCAAAAAATGAAAATTCTGTCTTTTACTCATGAGTTTTTAATTAAACATATCTTTGTAAAATTTTGTGACAGTACTGATTGTATTTCTCTTCTTCTTTCTGTATAATCGTTTCTAAGTATGCACATCTGTGTTCATCAGAAAGAGAAACATCTTTTTACCAAATGTGTTTGTTTGAAGGTGAAAAGTTGACGTCAATAATTGTCCACACAAACGAAAACACGTGTAGACCAATTCACTCAGGCACTTGCACCACCCCCAACATTACAAATGAGCCTCTTACAACCATAGGGAACGTTTCTACAACCCCCTTTCACACAGATGTTATATCTATCTGCCCCCATCCCCCCTATTCCTCAACTCATCTTCACCCCATTCCCTCCATATTTCCCATCACATAACAGGAAGTTACATCTCTTATTCTCTTACTATCCCTGCCTTTCCCTCAAAGCCTCTGGGAATTTCCAGTCATGAAATGTTTCATCATTCCAACCCCAGGAATGCCTGAATAACAGGATAGGATGGATTCCTTTTAAGTTGTAGGGAAGAAGGAATGATAAAGGAACCTATCATGCGAGGAAAGAAAGACAGAAGGGGTGTGGGTGTCAATAAAGTGGTATGTATTTGTTCTACATCTGTACTGTGATCCTCGAGGCTGCTCGCGCTACTTGGCGAGGTCCCACGTCGCAGTTTCTCTCAGAGCTGACAGCCCTCTCGCTACATCATGCCCTGCTTCACACTTGATAACACTGACAGTTCTTCAGCTGCTATGAGAGATCAGCTTTACTACAGCAGATGCACGAGCATATGCCTCCAACCCCCCTCTCAAGTACATCTGTCACTTTTGCCTATCAAAGGCAAAGAAAATGTCCTCAAATCTCGGTCATAAACTAACTTTTTTTTTAGTGACTTGCAATTTTTCCTGGTGGGCAAAAAGAAATCCCATAGACTTACATTTGAAGGTGAACCAGAATGCCAACAATTCTTGGGGATTGGCTCTTTTGACTTCATCACTCAAAATCATCCAGAAGACCCTAGCAACCATTCAGAACACCCTAGCAGTCACTAACGACTTAGAATGTCCTAGCAACCATTAAGAACACCCTAGCAACCATTCAGAACACCCTAGCAGTCACTAACCACTTAGAATGCCCTAGCAACCATTTAGAACAACCTAGCAACCATTCAGAACACCCTAGCAGTCACTAACCACTTAGAATGCCCTAGCAACCATTTAGAACAACCTAGCAACCATTCAGAACACCCTAGCAGTCACTAACCACTTAGAATGCCCTAGCAACCATTTAGAACAACCTAGCAACCATTCAGAACACCCTAGCAATCACTAACCACTTAGAATGTCCTAGCAACCATTAAGAACACCCTAGCAACCATTCAGAACATCCTAGCAGTCACTAACCACTTAGAATGCCCTAGCAACCATTAAGAACACCCTAGCAGTCACTAAACACTTAGAATGCCTTAGCAACCATTAAGAAGACCCTAGCAACCATTCAGAACACTCTAGCAGTCACTAACCACTTAGAATGCCCTAGCAACCCTTAAGAACACCATAGCAACCATTCAGAACACCCTAGCAGTTACTAAACACTTCGAATGCCTTAGCAACCATTAAGAAGACCCTAGCAACCATTCAGAACACCCTAGCAATCACTAACCACTTAGAATACCCTAGCAACCATTCAGAACACCCTAGCAATCACTAACCACTTAGAATGTCCTAGCAACCATTCAGAACACTCTAGCAGTCACTAACCACTTAGAATGCCCTAGCAACCCTAAAGAACACCCTAGCAATCATTCAGAACACCCTAGCAGTTACTAAACACTTAGAATGCCTTAGCAACCATTAAGAAGACCCTAGCAACCATTCAGAACACTCTAGCAGTCACTAACCACTTAGAATGCCCTAGCAACCCTAAAGAACACCCTAGCAATCATTCAGAACACCCTAGCAGTTACTAAACACTTAGAATGCCTTAGCAACCATTAAGAAGACCCTAGCAACCATTCAGAGCACTCTAGCAGTCACTATCCACTAAGAATGCCCTAGCAACCATTAAGAACACCATATAGCAACCATTCAGAACTCCCTAGCAGTCACTAAACACTTAGAATGCTCTAGAAACCATTGAGAACACCCTAGCAGTCACTAAACACTTAGAATGCTCTAGAAACCATTGAGAACACCTTAGCAAGTGCATAACAATGCTCTCACAACTACCAAAAACACCTTAGCATTAGCTAGGTTTTCAGCAAGTTTTTGAAAGAAGTCTCGTATGCTTACCAAGGCTGTATTTATTTGATCAAACATACAGTAAAAACTGCTGTAATATGAAATATTATTACAATTTAACTGTTTTCTATTTTAGTATATTTTAAAATGTAATTTGTTCTTGTGATGCAAAGCTGCATTTTCAGCATCATTACGCCAGCCTTCGGTGTCACATGATCCTTCAGAAATCATTCTAATATGCTGATTTAATTCTCATGATATATTTCTTGTTCTTATTGTTATCAATGTTTAGAACACTATTATTGTGGATATTTATGGATTTAAAAAAGCAGCATTTATTATTTGAAATAGAAATATTTTGTAACTATGTCTTTACTCAATCTTTTGATCAATTTAATGTGTCCTTGCTGAAAAAAAAGGAAAAAAAGAAAAAGAAAATCGTATTGACCCCACACTTTTAAAAGGTAGTGTATGAAAAAAAACAAAAACATTCACCTAGATTATTAAAAGCAATACAAGTATTGTTCATTGCTAGGTCATGATATCCTAATGTTAGAAAATTGTAAACTTTTCTACTGTAGATCATCATCTCATCATATTTTTTTGTCTCTCTGAGGTTGAGAAATCAATGATGGTATAGAACATTCTGTTCAGTTTTGCAATGCTCGACTAAATGATGCCTGGTCGTTTGCTGCTACACTGAGCGTTCCCTTAGGGATGCTGGAATTTGAGACTCAAACAATCCAGTTAAAGGGAAGGAGGAATGTAAGTTTGGACCGCCTTCTCTCTCTCTCTCTCTCTCCCTCTGTAACAGCATGCCCCCCCGATCTCTGACCCCTCAGCCCCTCTTTTCCTCAAGTGTGGGGCCCACATAGTCTCCACCCATAGAGAGGGCAGCAAACATATGGAGGAAAGACAGACTCTTATGTTTCTAATCAGACACTCCTTGAGCAGCTCAACCCCTTCACTCTCTGCCAAAGCATCATTATCAGCAGAGCTCTTACCCCTTTAAGCTACAATAACTGAGTTATGGGACCTAAGCCAATGAGAGTGAAAGCTGTTCTTGGTTGTCGGGAGTATGCAAGGGAATGCATGCATTGCCCCAAATCTGCATTGGAAAATAAACATACTTTACTAGTATGTTGACACCTTAATTGATTAAATAATAGATTTGAAATAAAACATTGATATTTCCTCATATTATTGCATGGTTGAGTGTTTTTATATGGCTAAATATCATTTAAAATTTTGATGTAGCTAAATATCATTTTATGCATGGATTTATAATAATTAATATAATTATTTTTTACTTATTTTCTTTACTTAAAATTCAAAATCTACAGTCCAAATCTACATTAAATGTTTATGTGGCTAAATATCATTTTATGCATGGATTTATAATAATTAATATAATTATTTTTTACTTATTTTCTTTACTTAAAATTCAAAATCTACAGTCCAAATCTACATTAAATGTTTATGTGGCTAAATATCATTTTATGCATGGATTTATAATAATTAATATAATTATTTTTTACTTATTTTCTTTACTTAAAATTCAAAATCTACAGTCCAAATCTACAGAATTTAACGAGACGCAAAATTGTAAGTTATTTATAAGTTATTCTAAGTTGAGGTTTATAGCTTATAGTTTAAAACATATTCTTGTTTTAAGCTATAAACCTTAATAAATTATAAAATAAATAAAATTATCAAATAAAATGATCAAATAAATTTAGTTAGATGTAGGCTTAAAATAATAATACAAAAAAATAGAAAATTAAATTTAAGTTTAACTTAAAAAACATATTTAATGCAATTTTGCTTCTCGAATAAGTTTAGATATTTTACTAGAAAATATTAATAATTAATAGTGCTGTCAAACGATTAATCACATCCAAAATAAAAGTTTTTGTTTACATAATATATATGTGTGTATACTGTGTATATTTATTATGTATATATAAAGACACACGCATGTATATATTTAAGAAAAATATGTTATGTTTATATATTAAATATATTTATATAATTCATATAATATAAAATATATATGTAAATATTTTCAAAATATATACTGTATGTGTGTGTATTTATATATACATAATAAATATACACAGTACACATGCATATATTATGTAAACAAAAACCTTTATTTTGGATGCGATTAATCGCGTATTTAATCATTTGACAGCACTAATAATTCATAAATATAGATTCAGAAAATAATTCGGCACCACTGTATCTGCTATTTGTGGTTTTCCCTGTGCAGCTCTTGTAATGTAAACAGAGTGTTTGTTTCTGTCTCTGACTGAATTTGAAATATGTATTACATCATACGGTCCACAACTTTTGCCGCCCAGGGTCTTCTGAACACCTGGATGCTTCATAGTCCGCCAAATTAACAAAATCCTCTTTATGCCTAATGGAATAACAACAGATGGACTCTTTAATTCAAATACAGACGCACACACGGCCACCTGGTGATATAATATATGCACAGATACACTGTGTGGGAGAGAGCGAATCAATTGATCCCAAGCCATTAACTTGAGAGGAAACTCATCAACTTTATTTACAGCATATTGCTGTGATGCAAAGGGGTGTGGTAGCTTCGCAGACAGCGAACTAGCAGAGCGGAGTGGAGACGTGCATGCATTATAGCAAGCGCTGAAACTTTTACATTTAAAGTTTTCTTTTTAATAGTTACTAAAAGTTAGGCATAGATAAGACCTCTCAAAGCACAATGTAAATATAACATGCTTCTCCCTTAACATCTGAAGTAATGCAAAGTTGGGTCCAAACATCTGCAGGAGAACAAAAGTAAAGTAAATTGTACTCACCTTGAAATAAGGCAGCAAAAAGACAGATTAAGAAAGCTACATTTGACGCTTTGTGGCATTTTCTGTGAGTGGCCATCCTGAGCGAACGGTGCTGCAGCATGTGGTGTGACTGTGTGTGAGAGTGGGTGAGGTTTGGGTTTGTTTCACTGTGAGTGTCACACAAGGGATAAAGCCAATGCCTGGGCTCTTATAGATTCATGTGTGGCCCTTCCCCCTCTCTCTTTCACTCGCTGCCACTCTCTACTTCAGCCGTTCCACTCTATTCTATTCTTTTCTTCATTCCCCTGAGCTGTGTTGTAATTATGGAGTATAGTGTCTGTATCCAAAGTAGCTCAAATTGCATGTTTTTAGTCTTTTGAAGTGAAGTTAAGACGGTTAAGACAAAATGGAGACAGCATCAGTGCTCAATTTATCCATCGGCTTGCCGTGATGCCTACTGAAAACTCACATTGTAAAAAAACATATTATTATAGCTGTCCTGTAACAAAGGAACGAAACGTGTGGATATTTTGTAAGTTGATGTGTATTTTGACCATTTTAAATGTACATAAATCTGTGTAAAGCACTGGAGAAAAACTGAATGTAAACGTTGTATTTTATAACTCCTCTTTTCCTCAACTTAAATCTGAAAGTGGATGATAAATGGCTTGTTTGTCCTATTTCAAATAAGAATAGTGTTTTAGGCAGCATTCCAGCAGCAGGTCCACAGAATGAAATGTGTTGTTGCAGTTTCTAGTGTTATGTTAATGCATACTTTCCAGACTCAACAAAGTGCCTCAAGTAATAATAAACATATAATAAATAAATTTTTGTGCTTTTATAACAATGTTAATATCTTGAGTATGCAAGATTCTGTAGTTACATATTAAGCAAGCATTACTTGTTGTCATTGTTTTACGGGCTGTTTTCATTTAGGTAAAGAAACTAGGACACAGCGCTGACCCCTGCTGTTTAAAATTTCACATTTATCCATTTATAGGAGACTGCAGCTCTGAAAACAACCTAAATTTGCAATCAAATACAATATATATAATATTAAATATTAAATACTGAATTGTATGATCAGGTTATGTTTTTGGTCTTTAACAACAGTTATGTTTTACTGCTATGAATTAAATATTAATATGCAATACCTACCTCTAACACTTCACGGTATACTTTGTTCATAGAAAGCGTCATATTGCATATTCATCTTGCTATCATGATTATTCCTTTTGGATAAACTTCATAGAATCATAGATTCCATCTCTGGCTATTGAGGCTGGATTTAATTAGATGTTTGCGGAAGAGATGAATGGCAATGTGATTCTGGAATGCTGTGTTCAGGAATTCATATTTCAAAGGGATGGTGTGAAAGTATGTATTGTTCCATGGGCCTGGGTTCCTGGTTTTCTCGCTTGGATGTATATACAGTTGTTTTAATAGCAATATCAGTTATATTAATTTCTATATAAACACCACCATTTAAAAAATTGGGGTCGGTAAGATTTTTTTTTAATGTTTTTTTTTTCTCTTACGATCACCAAAGCAACATTTATGATCAAAAATGCAATAAAGACAGTAATATTGTAAAATATAACAATTTAATTTTAATATTATAACATAACATTTTTGAACAGTTAATAACTGTTGTCCATTTTAATATATTTTAAGAAAATCCCAAACATTCATTTGAAATAGAAACATTGTAATGTTGAAAACTGACCCTACATTTTTGAACTGATCTAGATTGGTCTATTCCATTGTAAGAACATACAACATATTGGCTTGTTCTTGATTTAATCATGGCTATTTTAAAGTAGCTCTCAGTTCAACTTACTGGTGCATCTGTTATTTACACAAGATGTCCACTAAATGTCCCAGGTCTTGTGGTAACATCTTGTTGATTGTTACCACAGTATGTGGCATAACATTAGAACTGGAAGTACAGCTGGGGATGTAAGAGCGTACATGAGAGCATCCTGCATTTCTACTTATGAAAACAAAGATACTATAATGGATTTCATGCATTACAGCCCATAGGCATTCAGTCACCGAGGGAACTTCTGAAGAGAGTGAGGTTAGCCACGATTAGCTGTCTTACCCTGAAGCATGGCAGAATGTGTGTGTGAAGCACAGATCGTGAGCCTGTAAGCAATGTTACCAAAATATTTACAGTTACAGTGCAATATGGAGGCCACTACCCTAGAGAAACAAACTCGGGTCTGTTTGATTAGAGGTTACACAGTACAGCATTGGGGCCAATTTAATGCATATTCCTGGTCCTGTTGTGAATAATTCATCAGTGCATGATATTTAAGAGGATAAAATATTGTCCTTTCTAATCTTAAAAAGTGTAATAACTTGCCCTACCTATGAAATGATTTAATACAATTTAGAATGCCCCAGCATCCTAAATTGTTGAATATCTGTTTTACTCTGACACATTTTTTTGCATGAAAATGGATAGTAAACCGTGTTTCATGTTGATTTTAAATAGGCAAAACACAGGACAGTTACAGTGCAATATGGAGGTTACTACCCTAGAGAAACAAACTCAGGTCTGTGTGATTAGAGGTTACACAGTACAGCAGCGGGGCCAATTTAATGCATATTCCTGGTCCTGTTGTGAATAATTCATCAGTGCATGATATTTAAGAGGATAAAATATTGTCCTTTCTAATCTTAAAAAGTGTAATAACTTGCCCTACCTATGAAATTATTTAATACAATTTAGAATGCCCCAGCATCCTAAATAGTTGAATATCTGTTTTACTCTGACACATTTTTTGCATGAAAATGGATAGTAAACAGTGTTTCATGTTGATTTTAAATAGGCAAAACACAGGATAAAGCAAACTTTAAATAGATTGAAAAACTGGAAATGCTAACAATTATTAACTGAGTTTTATTTTATTTTATTTTATTTAATTTTTTAATTTAATTTAATTTAATTTAATTTAATTTAATTTAATTTAATTTAATTTAATTTAATTTAATAATTTTATTTTATATTTGCTTATTACCTGCTTATACCTTCTACAAAGAGTTATGGTCAAAACAGTTTGTTTACCCATATTAAAGATATACATCAGCTTTCCCTTTCATTTATAAGGCCTTCCGAATGAGAGGAAATCTCAGGATATTCATGAACATTCTGAAGCAATTGGGTAATGTTCACTGCTCTTTCTTTCACATCCAAGGCACTCTATGTAGATTTGATCAACTTCGACTGCCTTAATGGCATTTCCTTAGGAAACATAACAACAAGGAAATTGCTGTTAAAAGTTGTGTAAGAGTCTTGTATTAGCCCAAATGGAGAAAATGTCAGAGGAACATATTGCTTGCTTTGAGAGTGATTGTTATAGAACTGGCACCTCAGTTCAGTTGCTTATCTGCACTGTTGCAGTTATAACTCAGGGACGCTGCAGCAATTATAGCTCTAGTGTGGTGTAAGCAAAAATAAAAGTGTCTTATGTACTCATGCCTAAGATTCTTTTGTATATGACTTTGCTGAACCTGTTCAGAACAAATCTGCAAGCTTGTTCTGTGGGTGTTTGTATCGTACTGTGAGATAGACTCCTCTGTGGTGAAATGTGAAAAAATGAAGGATGAAGTCATCAATATTGAATGTTCCAAGGACATAATTGGTGAGTGGTAATGATCAGGGACGGGTGGACACGCCTGGTCTATCATTTCACTGAAACACCATGAAAGACAGATGTTCCCCTTCACAGCATATAGTCAGACAGAACTACTCTCCTGTGGAACATTTACAGTAAGGTGATCCCAATGTTGTCAGGATCTGTAAGTTGAAGGAATTATTTTCTTCACCTCTGTCTGTTCAACATGTATTAATATGAAGGAATTTTCCATATTTATTTTTTGCAGGTGTTTTACCTATATTTTGAATGTTACACTTCATTGCTTTGTGTGTTAGGAAATGTCTGTAATTACTGGATAATGTCCTTGTATACTGTGTATATTTCTTATGTATATATAAATACAAACACATGCATGTGTATATTTAAGAAAAATATGTTATGTTTATATATCATATTAAATTAATATTAAATATTAAAATATATTTTTATCTAAAATAAAATATAAGAATATAAATATATAAATGTATATACATGTAAATATTTTCAAAATATATGTATGTGTGTGTATTTATATATACATAATAAATATACACAATACACATATTTTGTAAAGAAAAACTTTTATTTTGAGTGCGATTAATCATATATATGTTTGTGAAATATGTATACTGTATGTGTATGTGTGTGTGTGTGTGTGTGTGTGTGTGTATATATATGTATATATATATATATGTATATGTGTAGTGTTCCTCAGGAAAAAAAGTGATAAAAACATATTAAGATCGATAACGTATACATATTATGACTTTGATACTGTATAATCTCAGCATCTCAATCTGTTGTGTGATAACCAGAGTCATTTAGTGGTTTCTCTATGGCTTGGGTAGTTACTATTTGTGTCATTTTAGATTTTTTATTTTTAATTTTTTTGATGTGTGGTCCACACCATCTGTTGTATCCAAATGATACGAATAACATAATACACTGGAGGTAAATGAACTGTGGACATCATAGCAGCATTACAACAAACCCGCAGTATACATTTTGGTGAAAGTATCTACACCTCATGCTTCTGTGCTGTTTGCAAACGGGTGTTCTGTGGAGCATAAAAATACAATTACTGAAGATTGTTTATCATTGAGCTCTATGTTATTACGAGAAGCTTGGGCAGTTATAATGGAGATTGGTGGCAGAATTTTGAGATAAAACTCACAGGTTGAAAGCTATGCAACTATTGACTATCCTTCAAGAATAATGCCAAATTACAGATTTAAATACTCATTTTATATATATATACTGTATATATATGTTTTCACCTATTATGGCCAAAGAGTAAACTGTTATCTTACTACCAGCAGTGTTTGCTGCACAGGATGATGGGAAAGTATTTAAAAATTAGTATCATATAATTTATGATGCCACTGGTTTTAATGTAGTCACCTAATGAACATGAGACCGAATTGAATCCACTATGGATCTGCCAACAATCTGAATGTCTTTAAATGATTATTGATGTTGATCTGCTGTATGGCTAAGGCTATAGTACACATT